TTAACGTTACACAGATCAACCTGAAGTTCATCCAGGTGCACCTCCTGCCCACAACAGAAACTGTATCAATGTTTTTAAGCGCACGGATCCAGATCTGACGAAGTTCTGCTCAGCTAACCTCGTACAGTTCAAACAACACTCCATAAACATTTGAACCACACCGAACGTTACGTCGGACTGCCCGCGGATGAAATGTCAGACAGAGGAATAAACACAATGACGCTAGAGCCATGTGCATGTCTGTCTGTATGCCATAGGTGGAGGTGCATGCGCGTGGCGAGGATTGCGAGGACGATGAATTGGAAACTGTACATAGTAGTATGCGTTTTGGGGTGCCGTTAGTAAGTCTGCGCATGGCAGGATAAAAATACGCACTCTTGGAATATCAAACCCCTACGTCAAAGACTCTGACGTCAAAAGCGCTAAAGGCATTAGGTATGCATGTCTTTCATACCACGTATGTCTGGTTGTGATTTGATTATTATCTCGGCCTCCGTTGATGGGATATATTGCCAAAGGTAGCGCCCTCTGTGGAAAACAGCATATCCGCGATGCCAGGACAGCCTTTGACCTCGCATTCACGTTCGCAAACGGAGACTCGAAGACTACTCTTCTCTTCTTGATCAAGGAAGGTTATATTTGTTTTGCATCCACCACACTTCATTAAGTGTTTCAGGCTATCGCATTGTTCAATGCAAATGAACGAACACGAAGAGGCAATGATGCATGTCAAAGAGCCAGCTGCCGGTCCCAGTGTAGATCCCGTTGCCTGTCTTGTCGTAGAGGTGACCATCATCCACTCAATCATGCACTGGTTCGTGCGTTAATTGGTTTGTGCGTGCTTCCCACACCAGGCGTATCTGCAAGTCCAACTGGGAACCATTGCCTTGGATGGCAAGTTCACGACGAAGTTGTTGAAAAGTTTTCGCTGCCGCTGTAAAGGGCTAGCACTGATTTATTTGCAAAATTGCCAATCCATACAAGACGCAAAACAGTTTTTGTAAACGTCACGTGGTGTGACCGATGTGTGACTTGCCTACTCAGCACCAACAAGCCAGTCGCAATACCAATATTACTATGCCGCGAAAACATTCACATTATGTACGTATAGACATTATAAAACGAGGTAAATACTAAGTCAAGTGATAGAAAACTGGTACGTTGTTTGGCACAACCGAAATTCCTGCCTAGCCCCATGTTTTTACAGTTCTTCGGGTGGGACCTCAAGTCGTTGCGGCAATCCGCCAACATGCAATTGTGCATTGCACTCCTTCGGGCAGGTAAAGCAGGTAAATATGGAGAAGACCTAGAATTGTACCTATCCATGATGGAGGCAAGCGATGAAGCTACGAAGGCTAACACACGTGCTTGGTTTGCTGGTTAGTCTCCAGTAAAATGATTGTCACCCATGCTACAGTCCTCACCCGCCTGTCACTTAGCTTTCCAGTAGAATGAAGGGCAGTATACTCTGGCAACCTCCCCGCGAGTTGCATATACATCTTGACACACGGACATCTTTTGTACGACTATCCCGACATCGCCTGTATTTTCTTTTGTATTCATATCGTGTAGTGGTTCGTGCCATGACAGCATATCAAAGATTCTACCATTTTTGCACCCCCCAAACGGCAATGTTCGTTAGACGCTTGCCCTTCACCATCGATTCATTAAAGTCCGACGTCTGAAGATCTCCGATTGAGGGTCACTACATCCCGTGTTAATCTTCTATACGTACTGCCCGCAGATCATATGTCGGACAGAGAAATACAAACGAGGGTGTCCATGTTGTGTGCTTGCTGGTCGATCTGCCAGAGATGCCGGTGCATGCGCAAGGCAAGGATCGCGAGGATGATAAACTGAAAACTGTATGTTGCCAAGTGTGTGGTGTCATTAGTAGGAATGCACAGACGAATTTTGGGATGCGTACTCTTGAAACGTGGCGTGGTACTGGTACTGGTGTGCTGAATATCAATGTCTTGGCCATACAGGGCATGAGTGAATCACGCACATGGAGATAATAGGACGCTAGGACGTTTACCGCCGATAAAACTTCAAAACCAGAATCATCGTTGATGAGCATGGAAAATGAGTGACGATATATATGTACATGTCATGACTCACACAGACCGCATGTATAGTATAAAATGTTATTCTTCACCAGGACGGCGTACAGACGGCCGCTGGCCATCCGCCAGCTCTGTATGGCATGTATGAGTGTGAGAGACATGAGACCTAGAGAAAAGTTGGTCAGGCATCTGTGCGTATCTATGTTCCAATCGACAAACCTAGTTGAAATATGAAAAAGAGAAGAAACGGTATGAAGAGGTTGTCGCTGGTACAACAACCTGTGATGCCTGGGATTGCGCTGGTGGCATCTGTGAAAGTGGAGAGAGAATGTGAATGGTGGGCGGGGCGCCGATTAAGAAGCATGAGCCCGTACAAGATGCGGTGACAATAGAGGCTAAGCCAGTGCCGGCGCATGCTATGACGACAACCTGACTTATGCATCTACAATGGCCTCGAGGTGCGGAGAGAGCATTGAACTCACAGGGAAAAAAGTCAGCATGACAATGAGCACGAATCGATTGTCTTTCCAGAGTGCATATGTTCGGAGCATGAAGAAGCCTGGATGAATTGGATCAGAAGCGTGGGTATGTTGAGGGGGAGGAGAAATACATTCGGAGCAACTGCCTGATATCTGGCTGATAACTGTGGGAGGAAAGGGGTCCCTCAGCAAAGATGTGCACACATGTCTGTACCGTGCACGCACTTGAGCAAATATTAATCAAGATCTTGCATTTCTGACAATGTCACATGGCGATCAGTCGGTTTGAAGTCTACCGCGAGTTCACATACGTCAGGGTTCTCGTTTGGGATGAAGTTCGCTGAAGTATGGCAAGTCAATTCATCATCGGAACAATCTATGCTGGAGCCGAACGTACTATATAAATGCCCGATTATAATGAGAAAAGGCACAAATCGGGTAACGATATAAAGACCTTTTACCTTGGTCCAGCGCGATTGAAGCAGGAATGTCCACTTTGAACATCACATGATGGTCAATTTATATGAAAAATGAGACTTGTGATAAAACTTTACCTTCTTCTTGAAGTGAACAAGAGCAATCATAGGCCTGTAAGTAAGTTTAACAGCGGACGGCAAGACATCAAGACAAGCCCACCCAAAGTGTAGCCATCGACGCTGAACTGCGTCAGGACAAGCAAGAACATCGATCCGGACAAGTACGCACTGTATACATACTGGTGACATGTGGGTCATCCATCTATCACTATCCCTTCGAAGTATCGAAAAGAAAGAGACGCACTGTGTAAGTCTGCAGACTCATTGCCACTGCAATATCGTCAGACGTGTACCGTTTCGCTTCCATTCTGTCGAGAGGCAGAAAATGGGTCTTGCGGGCAAGGGATACACATATGCACCTGCTTATGTATCTCCAGCTGGACTGGCGGCATCAGTATACCGGTGAGCCACCAATATTCCCATATTTTGCAAGTTCCTGTACATGACGTTATAAAGCAATATAAAGCAATAAATGAGTCTGAACCGAGCGTGAATTGGAGTGATTACATGACTTTAGATTCACTTTGAGCGGCATGAGATGCGACGTTGAAACAGTGGGCGATGTTATACAATCAATATATATCAGTCGTTTGAGTCGGTTTGCACTATCTGGACCTCTCCTTTAAAGTTTACTCAGTATCAGTCAGATTGGGCTAATCCAATCGGAATTTGCACTCACCCCGCCGAAGGTGACTCTACATATGTAAAGATTAGCAAGTTTCGAAGTCAAGCGATTCAATAAATGATACCGACGTTTCAGAATCATAACCTGTGCGTTGCGGTCAACTGTAAGATATTCATCGCCCTCTCGATCGCTCGAGTTTGGTACGCATCAAATTCTGACTCCAGCACACCCAAAATCCTGATATTGATATATTCATCTACCACTGCTAGCAGTTGAAGCTCGATATCTATCAATGTTACACAGATCAACTTGAAGTCCATCCAGATGCACCTCCTACCCACAACAGAAACGGCATTGTTTTTAAGCGCACGGGTCCAGATCTGACGAAGTTCGGCTCGGCTAAGCTCGTACAGTTCAAACAGCACTCCATAAACGTTTGAACGACGCAAACGTCACGTCGGACTGCCCGCGGATGAAATGTCAGACAGAGGAATAAACACGAGGGCACTAGAGCCATGTGCATGCCGGTCTGTATGCCATAGATGGAGGTGCATGCGCGTGGCGAGGATCGCAAGGACGATGAATTGGAAACTGTACATAGGTATGCGTTTGGGGGTGCCGTTAGTAAGGCTGCGCATGGCAGAATAAGAATGCGCACTCTTGGAACATGGCTTGGTATCCGTACTGTGGGTACGGATGATTAAAGACTCGTTGATAGAGAAATTTGAAGGATCACGCACGTGAAAGAGCAGCAACGTGAGGACATTCACCCCCGAAAAAACTTTCGTAACGAGATCCATTATTGGTCAGCACAGGAAGAAAACTTGTGTATGTCCTGACTCACACAGACCGCATGCATAGTAGAATATGTTATGCTTCACCAGTACAGTGTAGATACGGCTGTTGGTCGACCGCCAGCTCTGTATAGCGCGTATAAGCGTAAGGGACATGAGACCTGGAGAGCGTCAGTCGGCGCGCGTCTGCCTAGATGTGGACTCCTTGACTTATTCCGGGCGACGTACCAAATTCAAGTCCAATCAAGAGAAGAAACGGTATGAAGAGCTGGACAACGGCCGAGGTCTGGTAGCAACCTGTGATGCCCGGGATCGCGCTGGTCGTCCCTGTAAAAGTGCAGTGTGAATGGTGGTAGAACAACAAGGCGAAAATAGGAGCGCGTACACGGTGCAGTGGCAGTAGTGCCGAAGGCAAAGCCTATGGACGATACGACGACAGCCTGACAGATGACTTACACAAGTTAGAGGTGCAGTGAGGATGGGACTCACAAGGAAGGTAACGACCGCGGTAACGACTACAATTCTGTTGTTATTCCAGAGCGCACATGTTCTAAGGACAAAAAAGCCTGGACGAATGTGATCAGGATCATGCGGATTTTGCAGGGAAAGGATATATACATTCAGAACAAGAGACTGATATCATGCTGAAACCTGTCGGAGGAACGGGTAGGGCTAAGCAAGGATGTGCATGCGGGTATGCACGATGCACGTACATGAGCAAATATTGTTCAACAACTGGCATTTCTAGTCATACTGTCAGCGTCATGGAGATCGACAAGTATACCGCGTATTCACATACATCGGAGTTCTCCTTTGGAATGAAGTTCACTGAAACACGACATGTCAATTCATAACAATGAATTTAGGAGCTGGACGCACTATATAAATGCCCGGCAAAGAGGATAAAAGGCACGTATCGTGCGATGATATAAAGACCTTTTACCTTGGACCAGCGTGACAGAAGTAGGAACGTCCACTATAAATGGATTATTATCATAAAAATATAAAAATGAAGCTGAACAAGTAAATTACCTCCTGTTGAAGCGAACAAGTATAATCGTAGACCTGAGCAAGGGAGTTTAACAACATACGGAAACGCAATACATTGTGACAATCCCACCCAGAATGTAGCCATCGACGCTGAGCTGCGTTTAGAATATGAAAGAAGCAGTTCGGACAGCGATACGCACTATATAGATACTGGTAACACATGAGTTATCTATTGTGATCAATGACTGTCGGATCGACAAGAGAACGTACCGTGTAGACCTGCAAACTCCTTGCCGCTGCAGCATTGTCAGCTGAGTACTCCATCTGCATCTGGTCGAGAAGCAAAGAATGGGATTCGCGCGCAAAAAACCCACGGCACGCATGTTCTTATCTCTTATAAACGAGCAGGCTCCGGGCGCAGCACGGGCACTATTGTAGGAAGAAGGTCAAGCGCTCAAGTCTCGTCATCGAGAATCAAAGTTCTGCTGCTCGAGTTCTGGAGGGTAAGCGACGTCAGTCTAGATGCAAGGCGTACGTATATTGCGGCGATAAGCCATTGTGCTGTCCAAGCTTTGTATCTCCACGACCTGCTCGTGTTATAAGTGGGTAACTTGAAGCCCACCACGGAAATCGAAGTGAGAATCAGTAAACAGGACCCGAATCATTGATCGATGCCAGCATATTATAATCCAATACTAGTCTGTTTGCACATCGTGATGGTGTGAGTAACGCCGCAGATACTAAAATGAAAAGACGAAATAAAGACAGACTGTGGTAAGGTGAATACGCAGGCTGTGAAATAACGATGGATGGTCATATTGTCCGATATCCAAGACTATGTAATGGCGGAGATAGTGCAACGTCCCAGAAACATAGTAGACAAGAGGCGACGCGCGAATAAATCCAGTAATAAGCCATCATGCTGCAGTGATGGACAGCTCGATAGGGCAAGGGGCCGCATCCACCTGTGTGGACTGAGACTGAGTTGTCGGGAGCCCGGAAATATCCATCGTAAGAATGAGCCTGAAATTTACACCTGTCGTTCTTATGAGCAAACAGAAGCCATCATGACATACACACTGACCTGGCCTTGACCCATTAGCATAAAGCCCAGTATTCTTGCAGGCATTATACCACTCATTCCACGTCGGATCTGAGTCATTTGATGCAACATACGAGAAGTTAAGTGGGACCTGGATTATCGGTAATGACCCGGCGGGGAGGGTGTCTGATCCAAAGTAACCCGTGCCGACTTGTAGATTGGAGGCCGAATCCCACACTTGTGCAGAGATGTGGTTGAAGGTAAGGGGAATAATATTGGAGGTGGTATCAACTTGAATATCTGCGTACGCCGGAAATGAGAAATTGGCTGGGGACCGGGAGAATTCGGTTGGGATTGAAGCATTGTAGCTCCCAGTGGCGGCAACCAGAGGTGTGGAGCTGTTGAATGAGAGACCGGGTACTCGAGGGATCGTGATTGCGAGGATAGTGCCAATGCTATAAAAGCTCTCGATATCTCTATGCCCAGGAAGACGAGCGCGACTTACATAGCGGCCACCCCAAATGCGAAGAAGGCAAGGAACCTTTTGGTGAACCACTTTCCACACAAACCCGTCTCCCCGCGATGCCAAGCTTTCCACTTCTCCTGCCGCTTCTCACTTTGCATCTCTCGTCGACCCGACTTAGTCATGTGTTTCATTTCGGATAGTTGCCATTCCGGACCGAGTGCAGGCACTGTAACTAGCTCTACTGGAGTTTGAGCACTGTCAGCATCACCATCTGTCTTGGCACCAGGCGGAGGCGGAGGTGGGGGAAGCTGATGATAGCTGCGTATCGGTCAGCTTAGTAGGATACGTTAGCTCTTCCATGTGCATACCCTGCTTCTTGGTGTTGCCCAATGCCAAAAGCAGTACTGTATCTTGGGCCGGCGTTGTTAAAGTCTGCATAAACATCCCATGTTTGAGCTTCCGGAGCCTCTTCTTCCTCATCACGTCCGCCTTTTAGCGGTTCTAGGCGCCCGGCGGCAAAAAAAGACGATGCGTTGTACCCTGCGGATTGTCCTCCTGTTAACACATCATGGCTTGTCCGTTGTTGTTGATCAGCATAGAAGGAAGAAGCATCGTCTCGTGGACGACCAGAGGGAGTATAATCGGGAGATTGTGAATGGTTCAGTGCATCGAACGAGCCTCTGCGTCCTCCGTAGAATGAAGATACAGTCGATTTTCTGTCGTAGTCCATGGCAAGAGAAGAAGTAACGAGGGAAACGAAGAAAAGAGTGGCTAGGTGGGAAGTGCCAAACCAAAGGACATGGTGACCGACGCCGCACTTGCCATGTTAGGACGTATGGGGTTAGGGTTAGTTTGAATTAGAACGTGTGACATTAAATCACTGGCATTGCTTTGATCCTCGCAGAGCTTAACTGACAGCGGACACTGTTCCGCTCCAGCCTAGACAGGTTTTTTTAGCTGCATTAATTCTGCAGCTAATTATTTAAAAAGCATGCCATACCGAATTCAAAAGCAACTTTCTCTGATTTCAGCTGAAATTAATGTCATGAACGATTGACTAGCCTGACTCGAGCACTACATAGAGACACCATGACTTGGGATTCCTTTGTTTTTATCGACCATTGATATCGATTTTGTGAGTGTTGTGCTTTCTGCTTGGACGAAATTTTCACTCGATGATACTCTCACTGTCGACTCGACCCAGCCTGCCATGGAATCGTGGCACTTGTGAGATGATGAGTTGTGTCCAAGAATACTCGCCTGCCCTGCTGATCATCATGGGCACCCTACACACACCATGACTGCTCGATAATAGGCACAATCAAAGGAATTTTCTCTGCAGGACACATGTCACTCGATCAACCTGAGCTTTCAATGGCGATTTCCATTTGTACTCCAGTGTACATGTCCTCTTTTACTGCTTTGGTGTAGTCTGTTGGTGCCGGAGTCTACCAGCTGGTGTAAGTTTCCAGCCAATAATTTTCACTTGTGTAGTAAGCCTCTTTACGGTCCTGATGCAATGTAGACATGCAGAAAGCTGTGACATTGTGTCCAGGCTACATGCTGACGGCTCTGGCACATCGCATGCACCTAAAATTACCTGTGCACAGAAAGGGTTTCATCAAATGATGAAGCAAGTTGATTTATATTCCCAAGCCTGGGTTACAGGCAGCGGAGCTTGGAAAACACTACTCAGGTGACTGGTTCCATGATTGTACACAGTTCGTACTTCTATGTCACATAGAGCTAATGAATGCTAATTGACACTTTTGGGCAGATTATATGGTAAACCTCTACAGGGACCTGGGTTTTACTGGTGGGATTGCGATCATTCTTAGTGTGACATATGACTGTTGCCACAGCCGGAACTTTGTTGTGGCCATAATCATGGATTGTGTTGGTCATATTTGGCTGCTAGGTAAGAATATTTTGCCCTTCTCTGGCATGCATTCTCACTCTCTACAGCAATTGGCCTTTCCAGCTGTATGATCTCCCTCTCCCTGAAAGCACAATGGAAGCTTGCCCAGTTTCAGACCATACACCTCACACGAGGAATGCTCTTGGTATGTTATTTATATTCTAGTACTTCATCTGCTTCTACGCTTGCGGAATTGATGCCACGTCATATGTCTATTGCAGTGAGATATTTCTGTCGCACATATGTGCACGGGGCATGGTATTCTCATTGGCCAGGAAATTTTTGTGTTCTTAGAAGTTGACCCCATGGTGCTCGCAAATTGGTTGCGGTACAACATGGTATTCATGTGCCTATCGGCAGTGGAATTTGGCTGACATGCTCTATTTTTTTCCCCTGAGGTGGGGTTCCAATCTATTATAGTCCTAGCGCCTTGGTGATCGAAATGCAGATGTTGAATCCTAAGATATGCTGGATGCAGATTTTTTCTTGTTCCCGCTTGCGTTGTCTAGGGGGAATGCGCAAAGCGCGTGATAAGGCGAAAGCGCGGGAACAAAGGCGCTATAAATGCGCGAAGCGCGGGAAAGTCGCGCGTCGAAAAGCGGAACTGGGTGAAAGCGGTATGCGAGCGATAGTGAGATGTTAAGACGTGTACTGAGATGCTGATAAGACAACTGATGCAGATATGGCCACTAGAGCTAACTGCTACTAGGGCTTGCGATGATTTATTCAAAACATAATAAAAACTCGGAGATGGTGACTGTCTATGATGATGGTGGTCCGTGGTAATGTGTGTTGTGTTAAGTAAAAAAATGTGTAATGAAAAATGTGTACCAAGTGAAAATAAACATGGTACGATGTTGAAATAAATGATAAATGGAGAAATGCATACCTGGGAACTTGATTGGACATGGGAAAACACAGTGGGAAGTCAGGCGCCCTATAGCGCTTAGGCGCGGGAAAGTTCGCCTAAAGCGCGCGCAAGTCGCGGAAGTGTCGCCTATGTCGCGGAAGTGTCGCCTAAGTCGCGGAAGTGTCGCCTAAGTCGCGCGCGTCGCGCGAACGTCGCGTTTATCGTGCAAGTGTCGTGTTACATGCATGATACTGTAGACTCGACCTATGTTGCAATATGTGCCATTGTGAGGCTACCCAGGATGAGTCTCTACAGCGGTTCATTTGTTTGTCCTGTTGGGGTATATTGTACCCTCCCTATGTAGGAAATAATTTCTGGAAAGTGGACACCTGTATCTCCAGGCACTTCTTTGCGAATGCCTCGATGTGAGGCATTACCTCCGCCGTTCCTGCAAGCCGTTTTACACGCACAAGTCCTACCAACGGGGCCTGAGTGTTGTGGTTGATACTTGGACACTAATTGTCAAAGCAATCGTGCACAACAAGGAAGATGGAAACGGAATAGAATAGAATAAAAAAATTGAGGTTTTGATCGGTGAGGTGTGTGGGTGCATAGACTTGATTCTTTGGATCTTGGTTATCGCTTACTATACACAGTATAGCTACAGCAGTATACGTTCAAACCTTGTCTACGTGAGCACCGCGTGTGCTCTCTTGATGAGACAATCAATTTCAGTACTTCCGTCAATGATTAATGACTAGCTGGGGACTTTTGAATTCCGTGCAGCATGGAAAGAAAGCACTGCCGAGATTGTGCAATGGCTGCACCTGCAGATCGTACTATGTCACTTCTTAATGCCACCTTGGCTCTAACAGACCGTCTGATGCTGTATCATGATCCCGAATCTTCTCAAGTCCATCTTATGATCAATTGATCGATGACCAACAAGATTGGATCAATATCCAGGTCAATCCAAATGACATCTGTCCATGTGCTGTGCAGACCGGTAGGCAATACATACTTCAAGTTGATGAATGTGCGCCTATACTGCGCACCATTGTCAGATTGGCGCAGGCAGCAAACAAACTATATACTGGCAGGCCACGACTGCTGTGTGACCCGTGTCTCACAGCATTGTCATTTCTCAAGTTTGTTTTAAAACAAACATCCGATTTATTGTTGAAGACGCTATAATGGACATAGCCTTATATGCACGGGGGGCTCGCTACCGTTTATCTGGTTATCCAGGAGCGTCTGGTTCAACAAATTATCTGGACCTGCCTTTGGGATGCCTTGTTTCTGACATGAGAGAACACTCACGACCCGGCCAGGTTGAGTCTTGACTTGGACGCCTTCTGGCTGCCTGAGATTATAATTATTATCAATACGTACATACCACAAAGTTTCAACGTGGACGTTGTTCATAATTAAACACTGGCCAATCGTGAATTGCGCCGTGATATCGGTAGGCAAGTTACGTAAATGAGATGTTATTTCGAAAATGATCAAATTCGCTGTGCCCTTGCTCTAATTGCAACCTCTCCCTCCGCTGTGCAAGCCAGCTCAAAGACGACATTCTACAGCCTCAGCCTCACGCCATATCTGTCACAGTTTCCCCCCACCATAAATGCATCTCTCGCTGAACAGGCCGCCCTCATGAGCAGCAGGCGGGCAGCTTTGTCATTTAAACTCCGCTTGAATTACCCAGACTTGAGACACAGACTCAAAGTCCGGCCTAAGTCCACGCCAGACACACCTAGACCGGCTGATACTATCTTGCACATTCACAACTCGTTGGGTTCGAGATTTACAATCGATTTTGTGAACTTCATATCCATACATTGTAATCAACCCCAGACCTATATGAAATTATGAATGTCTCATTACAATGAGCTGCGTGAACTGCAGTGGACTGGACGCAGCTGCTACTGCAACATCATTGGATGGCTTTGTTTCGTATGTCCATCAGAGTCAACCAAATACAACTGGAACTATCCGCATCCTCAGTATCTCAGCAGGTACTCAACAACTTGACTCCAATTGCCTCATGGTCCTGATTTGGCCACATGGAGAAGTAATTGTGCGGCGCTCACCTTCTGCTACTAATGACACTATCCCTCTCCCACCATCATTGTCTCTAAGCCAATGGTGTGCTCCCCGACACCGGAAACCACAGAAGAACGCTTCTGCAAGGAACTCAAATTGGACAGGAAGGATACCGTGTGCCACTTTCTCATAACGAAGATGGAGGTATACTACTTGAAGCAGTTACGCACAACAGATGTCATTCATTTCTGTAAGGTATGTGATATATGTCTTCCATTTTATAGGATTGACAGGTATCATGTTGGAAAAAGAATGTACATCTCCGCTTGTATCCTGTGTCGCTATGGATGTCCTGCCTACTTAAGTTTCATCTGTGCCTTCCGAGCGCATATTTTCATCGAGCAAAGAGACATGCACTCTATGGTGCAGCAACTTATATCCGACCAGCTTGAAGCGCTTCAAGTCCTGAAGTTTATTTACAGGCAAGACTGCCGTGCGGAACTATGCACTATCTGGACCTGTGACTCCCAGAGCAGTTGACGAGCTGATAGCTGCTGAGAATCTTCGCGAGCTTGACGAGTTGCTCCAGAATGCAAGTGTCATTGACTGTAACTAGTATTCTGCTTGCCGTATACTAGTTACTTGCAAATAATGCAGCGGTATGTAGACTCCCTAGGTGGACTACTGGTCTGCATCACTCCCAAACTGGAGGTAAGCACATCAAAATAAATTATTAAAAGCACGGAAAGTTACCTAACCGTCAAAGCTTGTTGTGCTCCTGAGACATCAGCCAGAAGCACATCTTCAAGTTTCCATTTCACCACATCATACTTGTTATGCTATGTACCTGTGCAGATTCGGTGCTCTGCTAACGTGTTTTCTGATCAGGAATGGAAAGAGACACAGCATGGCGCAACAAACTGTCACTAGAAACTACATGGAGATGCTTCAGATCCTTGAGTTTCTTTCTGCAATGAAAGGTTCCCTTTCAATGATGATTAGATTTGAGTAAGTTAACATTGTTGATTGCTGATGTGAGGACCTCCACTGTTGCAGAACTTGGTTCGACTGACCAGATGAAAGACCTCTAGCTTGTTCTGTCTTCCCCCAGCCGGATATGCTTCATTTATGTTTATTAGCATTGTCAACCTTCAATACTAATACCTAGCACAGTGTAATCCACGCGATCGCAAAGCTCTGCAATTTACCATTTCTCGAATGTAACTAAACGTGCACCTCACCCAACCCTTGGCTTGGATTCTTGAGATACAGCGCCACTGTCACCTCGAGGGGACCTTGACCTCACCTTCAGAACAGCAACACTAGGGCCCTATAGTGAGTGACCCTGTAAAATCCAATAACTGCCCCAATATTGGGCTGCGGCTGCTTTGAGAACATTCTAATCATTCTCCAGAGTCATAATTCGGGACCAACCGAATGTCTCCGTACCCTTCGCACATGTTGGCATGGTATATTGCAATTGAAAGGGGCCCCAGGGCGACTCATCCATATATGTACTAATACGTGATGCATTCGGAGGCACGGGGCTTGACAAAGACCTATGGAAGCCCACAATAACATAGCCAATCGAAACAGCATGCCACACAGCGGCCTGCATTGGGAAACAGTACCCAAATGATGCCCCTGATTAGCCTCGTTATGCGAGATTTATGCTGTTTAGCGCTGCACCATTGCAAAAGGACGGGGTCAGCTTACATTGCCAATCTTTTGAATATTGTGTCGAGCTGAGCTGAGAACAACACACTCCGTCATAATTCACACATAGTATCTGAATTTACAAAGGGTTGTCAGATCTGTCTCCCTCGATAATACCATTACCATCAATCATTAGCATCGGAAGGAGTCCCCAGATCGTCCGACAAAGACGCTGCTCGGCTATATTACAACGGAACTAATATAGAAGATTAAGAGCACTCCCATATGTAATAATAATCCATACAAATGGAGACGGAAAGAATCAGCGTGATGTTTCCGATGCGGCACTTGCCAGCGAATTTGGGTCAAGTACATAAATGCAAGAACACGCGGTGAGAAGTCCGTAGGGGATGAAAGAAAATGCGGAACGTGCATGTGCCATCGAACTGCGCTCCCAAAGCAAACACATGAAACGTGCCAAGGCATCTAAATAGATAGTTGCTGGTCATCTAGTGGATTTCAAAGAGATACGTGTTCATACATGATCATTAATAATGGACTTGGACTTGGGGCGCGCGCAAGTATTACTTGGTGAGAATTGTCAATCTTGGAAACGAGCGAGTTCGCTCGGCCATAATGGATGGGTCCACAGCATCTAGAAGCTCGTCACAAGTTGAACATGCTGTGCATCTGCAGCAACTTGCTCGAGCACATTGTCAACCTCTTGAAATGGGCTCATCTACGTGGTGGCGCGGTGGCAGGGGGGTAATTGCGCGGATAGTGGACTGGCCCACCTTGAAGCGACCGAGGTGGAACTGTAACTGTGTAGAGGGGAGTTGCAGTTAATCTTGCTGTGTAAGGAGGGGGAGGAGCTGGAATAGCTGGATTCAAAAGGTCAGGCCACGAATTCGACGTCTCGATTTCAGTGACGGAATGCGAGACATGGCGAGCGCCTGAAGGAAGTACGTATCCTGGCGCCAAAAAGATATATTTATATTAGTTCGTAAATAAGGAGCATGTCAACTCACCAAGAACGCAGTGGGGAACACCTGAAGCATGGAGCTGGAACAATAAATAAAGGAGATAGACAGCAAGCAGAATAGATACTGTGGGATCGACACATTGAGTCAGCTTTGATGTTGGCTGTTCGGCAGCGGCCAGGGATACTTATGGAAACCAGCTACGATACCGATAACAGGCTGCCACTCCAGGTCACTAGTAGTTGTCGCAGCATTGTTTTCGGTACGGCGGAAGTTCAGCATGACACGAAAGGAGGGAACATGAATGGGAGGCATGATCAGTATGTAAGGAGTGAGCCACATCTGGATGACATTATATACTCAGCACATGGCAGTACCTGCCACACTCAGTTTTGCATAGCATAAAAGATTGATAATATTTATATTCCCTCTCAATCCAGACCTTCAAAATATTTAAGTTGAACGACAGACTGGGACAGTACTTCGCAGGAGAAGAACTGACCTGTGCACAACAGCCCCCCGTGGAACGAAAAAAAGTAGCTGTTATGCTACTAACCATGGAAACGCGAATATGATTCGGTTCTTTTGCGACGCGCCATTACGGGCTCCAGTTCTAGCTCTTATGATGACCTCTGATAGTTTTTCCCACAGGGCAAGTCGCTCAATGAGGGCATCTGTATTCGCTCTCAAATAAAGTAGATCCGGACCGTCGCCACCCACAGGTACAGACCGTTTCCACACTAGCTCATCGATATGGGCTAGGAATTCCATGGAAGACCTGATGTCGTCGACACTACTGGGGTGTGGACAGACCGGACCTTCATCCAAAAACTTAGAAACTAGGTTTGTGACCGAACGAGGGGACAGTCGTAGTGATGTAACTAGTCCCTGGTGAATTGCGGTAAGCCTCACAACAAACCAAAGTGAGAGACTCACAGTAAGAATATTCTTTGCTTCATATTCGGAAAGATTTGAGATTTTCCCTAAGTAACCGGATTCAAGACCTCGTTGTATATCGGAAGCCTGTGCCTGAGATGAAGGGATGACATGATTGCTGGAAGGCTGATCATAAGGTTTTCCCGTTTGTAAGCCATTTAGTGGAGAAAGCCGTTCCGTGACCAAGGATTGGAGTTTTTCATAGCGTTCGCAGAGAGTGTCAATCTCGGTGGTAGCGTGCGAGAGTGCGACGTTCAGTTGCTCGAACTCAAGCAGTTTAGTCAAATCTTGAACCCTACCCTACCAGACCACAAATGGAGGAAATCAGGATCAGGCGTGAAAATGGACTGTAATCAACGCACCGCGTGTTCCGTGAGCGGTGCAGTTAGATCTGTGAGCCTCGTTGTGGCTTTCTCTGTAGAGCCACCCTACTGTTATGAATTGGGAGTCCACAAAAAATTCATTTATAACGTACCTGATGAGAGAGAGGCATCTCATCATGAGGCACAGGATTTACGATAGTAATTTGTGTATTTGGCTCGTCCCGGGATGAAAATATTTGCTCGTCAGATCCAATGTGAACTAACTCGTCTGGGGAGGAAGAGTGTGACGTGTGAGTTGAAGATGCGCAATGCTGTGTTTGCATACCTGTACTCTGGATATTTTGATCCAGTGGTGCAGAAGAACCGGCTAAGGCTAAGCATGATCCCTGCCGCCCCCGCTCAGTGGATTGGCTTGATGATGACACGGATCTGGAGAGACCGCTTCTGCTGAGTACCTGGGGACCATCAATGATATGATCCTGTGGCATGAACACACATACATCCTGTATATTACTTCCATGCTGCATGCCCAAACGGTGGGTATCTGGACAGGTATCGGGTGATTTGTTATCGATTCTGTCAGGGCCTAAATTTTGTGTTGCAAACATGAGATGGATCTTGTCAAAAGCTAGTTTGCCAGATGCATCCCGTAGTTGGACAGTGTGATGAGGGTTGTGTGAAGGACGTGAACCGGCTGATGCGATATCATGTATATCATCTGATGTGAGTAAATCTATCAAGGCGTCAAAACTACCGTTGGGATCATCCGCCGACTGCTGATTCACGGTGCAATGGGCATCAGCACCCGTTAGCTGTGAGTCTGGCATATTTTTAAAGAGAAAAGTGGATGTGATGGGAGGTCATGTCACTGGTAAGTACTGTTGATGTAGCAGTAAATCAACGTTTCAACATTGAGGCAGGGATGTAAATTTAGATCAACAATAAACTTACATCATACATGACCTACTTACATAATGTAGGTCCAGGCAATGAGTTGCTTCGAAAATGTTGTTTAGTCTTCTTCAAGCTCAACGATTTGAACTGCCGGCAGCTGTATTTGCTGTAGATTTTGACATCGCACTGTTCGATTTTTTTCAAAGCCAAACGACATTGAAAATTTATACCCGCGGGGGTACTGGATCGGACTCTGACCGAGTTTGGTAGTGCCGATGTCGCGACCCAGTCCTGGCCCTAGCTGGACCGTCCTTCCAGGTAATTATCCTTCAAACCGTCAAACTTCTACAGCTCATTGGATGCAAGAGCCTCCAAACACTTCCCCTGCCCCAACGCCACGATCTGACCCTATCAGTGATCTCGGTGACGATGAAGAGGATAACTTTGACACACCCCCAGGGAAAAGGAAGGCTATCGAGAGCCCTGTTTCTGTTCCGAGGCCTCAGAAGCTCGCGCGTTTCAATGATAATGGTCAGCGCGAAAAACGCGCTGAGGTATCACAGTCTGGTAAACGAACGAATGGTACTGCTCCTAGTAGTCTAACGCAACCTCCTAAAATCGCCAAAACATCCCGTTCTTCATTTTTGTCCCAACCTGCGCGTGTACGGCGCGTGCGTCCCGAGAAAGGCAAGGATCGCACGTCAAGTGGACAGTCAAGCTCCTCGCTGAGTGATCACATATCAACCATGCTTCAGAAGCAGAATACGCGGCTCAAACGCGCAGAGACAGCTCGCAAAACAGCTCGCAAGACTATCGGAAGTCGCAGAGTATCTACTTCAGATCTTATTCGTGCCGTACAGAAGCCCAGCAGTAAGTTTACCCTCCTTATCCATGCTTCGGTGTATTAACAAGTATGCGGCGTGCCAAGGTGGTTCGGAAATCTCTTCCGCTGCTACTCGCGTGCGAAGAGGTCAGATGCATGACCTTCCTGTTTACTCCACGACCTTATTGTCTCCACCTAGGTTCCATTAGAAGGTTTCCGCGCGGTCGACCACCTCCCAGTCCAGACGTCATCGAGCTCACCGACTCTTCGGGTTCTACGAGACGAAGAAGAGTCCGCGGTGACGATCCCATTGTTATCTCGAGCTCAGATGCAGACACTCCGCTGAGACAGTCCCAACCTTCACAGACGCCAATTTCCCGCAAAGCAGGCTCTAAACGTCCACCTCCTCCTGACGCTGAAGTTATTTGCATATCAGACAGTGATGACGACAGTGTCCCTGCTCCCTCGCCAGTGACTGCTGTTCCTGTGCCCTCACTAGCGACTGCTGTTCCCGCACCCTCGCCAGCGACTGCTGTTCCTGCGCCCTCACTAGCGACTGCTGTTCCCGCACCCTCGCCAGCGACTGCTGTCCCTCCTATTCAAGAGCCCAGTCCTCCCTTGCCTTCACCGCATCCGATAGTCACGGAATCAGAAAATGAAATAATGGTCGATCTAGAACATCAGGTTCCAGAAGATTCGTACTATGAACTGATGGAACCTGAATCCAACTTTGATGAAGAACTAGCAAGATCAGAGCTCCAGCGTCAAACAGAGGAATTATTTTCGTACATTGATTTGGACGCTCCAGAACCAAATTTTGCTGATCAAATTGCTAGTCCGATTGTCTATCATAACTGTAACGCTGCTCAGGACCCACATGTTCCAGTCCTTGACATGCTCACCGATTCCCCCCTTCCATCCTTAGAGCAAGCAACTGGGACTTCCTCAAGTGACACTGTTCCGGTCGAGATAACCTCTCAACGCATTGTAGTCGACACCCTTTCTCATTTAGAGTCCTCATCAGGCTCTAAAAATTCAATGGTTATCCCAGAAGTTCCGTCTCAGACGCACGCTACCGTGCCCACCATAGCTAAACCCCCGATCACATGGAATTATACCCCTCCCACCACTAACCCGTTCTTTGCTAGGGCGCTTGCTTTCAACGCAAAGGCGTTGAAAAAACCTCTACCCTTAGTTGCTCGAGTATCTAATGAAGCGAACGCAACTGCTTCTTTCGCCGCCCCTAGCTATTGTCGGATCGTCCACAGCAAACATTCTGCCCAAGCCATTGGTGTACGAGCAGGCTTCTGACGCACCCACGGCGAACAGAAACCCAGTCTCCTTACCCCCACCCGTTCACTTACTACCTCATGACGGTGATAGGAGTATTTTGCCACCCCTTGCCGATGAAGCTGCAGTAGACACGCCCCAAGAGCTTCTACAAACAGAAGCTCGCCACGATATCGATGCTCCTTCAACCCGCAGCGACCAGTCTTCCACTCATGACTCTACTGCCATGAACATCCCCATCTCCATGTCAGACATACCAGCACCACCATCAACCGCCCCTCCCTCATCCGCCCCCCTCCCCGTCCCACCACGCGTGCAGCGGCCCATTAAAAGACTCTCGCTTACCGAGTTGATTAACAAGAGGCGAGAGGAGCACTTCAGGTCGCATCCTTCTGGCGAATGCATCGACCTCACGGACGATGTGTCTCCTTCAAGTGGTAGTAGTCGTGCGCCTAGTGTGTCGAAGCTTCAGGAATCTGCGCAACCTCCACACATTACAACCAACGATGTGTCTTCATTACCTGCCCCAGTCTCCGCTAGACAGCCAGCACCGATTGTTGAGACTCGCACGCCCAGTATACAGGAAATTCGCGATCTAATGCGTCAGCGTCCATCCAGCAGTAAATTCAGCATCTTTTCAGTAGCCGGCAACCTGACATCGTCTGCAACATCTGCCACCAGCTCCCTCATTCCCAACATCTCTCCTCCTCGTTCCATTACATCCAATTCAACATCATCCAGTAACCAAAGCAGCTCTAAATCTAGCCCGCGCAGGAAGAACCGCTCGATAGGCATGGCAAGTATTGAAATGTTCATCTCGCCCATCCCGGACGGGTCCCAGCCCGCGTCGACGAAGAAGACGACGCCACCGACTGTGAAGAGAACCTCATGTAATGCGGATGTGTTCAGGCGCATTATCACGCCTACAGCGGAGATATCGGTGCGCAATCCCTCATTGTCTCCTTCTGAGGGTCGGAGAATCAGGCGTGTTGTTCGGCCACCCAGTCCGCAGGGTATCGGCGCTGGTGCCGATGATGTTGCTGCGCAACTTCATGATCAGTCTCGTGCACTGCCTGAACCACTTGAGGATTCCGCCCTCCTAGATGACGCAATAGACGATATGCTTCCATCGGAAGGCTTGCAAGGTGTCACTGAGAGCATTGGATCGCTGGATTTACATGAACAAAGTCGATCCCCTGAAGTAGACACCAATCTCAATCAGGTACGTACAAGCCCTTGTGAAATCCACCAGGCGAAAGTCGACAGTCTGACATGCTTTATTAGATGGACGTTTCGCCTTTAGAGAGTATACGTGAAGACGGGTACCTTGAAGGCATCCCCGTGTCCGCCGAATTGATGGAACACGAGGAGTTAGAGTCACTGGAGATGTTGGTGGATGACGTTTCGGCTGAGAGTGTGGAGCAAGCTCCGGTCTCTGTTGATCAGTGCCGCGATGTTGACGAAGAAGACGCTGGTGTGGATATGAGAGGAACACGAGCATTGGCGGAACGCACAAGGTCTATGTCGACGGGTGCGTCGGGAGATAGCGACCAAGAGCGCCTTTCAGTGCTCATACAATTAGAAGCTTCAGATGGGGAGGTACGTTGCTCTCTCATGGCGGGACGCCTACGTGACCTTTTCTTACCCTTCAATTTCAGGCAGGAGATGCAGATCATCCGATTTCCATCAACAGCAGTCGGACGGTATCTTCGCACACTTCTTCAAGACAGCTTTCTCAGTCTCCCGTGTCTGCTGGTCCCTTGGGTGTCGCCGGCGTGGTAGATGGAGGTTATGCCGCGCCCGTAAAACAGCTCGAAGACGGTGTCGAATATTATATGGGCGGATATCCTGTCGTGACATGGAATTCGTATTCGCAAGCACAGCGACTGCTGCCTCCCAAGTACCGTCTCGCAAAGGACCTTCCACATGAGCTCCAGGACCGCGTCAATGCCCTCCCTCAGTCGTTCAGAGATTCGCCCCAGGCAACCGTGCTTTTCGAGGCTATGATCGATGAAGCAATGGATGACGAGCTTAGAGCCCCTCCCATATCAATCATCAACGAGGTGACTGACGAAGGCGCGCCGCCTTGGGAATTCGTATACACGAACCAGATGTGGTATGGCGAGGGCGTTCCGCCGCCAGATATCAAGAATTTGAAAAGTTGCGGCTGTGTTGGGCGATGCGATCCAAAGTCGAAGACGTGTGGGTGCGCGAAGCGGCAACGCCATCATCTTAAGCGATATATTGCCGACAATACCATACCGGACACCTGGCATGGCGTACCGTTTATGTACGACAGCAAGGGGTCTCTGCAGTTCTTCGGGATGCCGATCTTTGAGTGTAATGATTTCTGTGGGTGCGATGAGGATTGTCCGAACCGAGTAGGTACCGTTTGTTTGCGTATTTTTGTTGTTGCTGACTATTGATCTCTCAGGTTGTTCAGAGAGGCAGGAGATATGTTGTCAACATCAAAAGGACAGAATCTAAAGGATGGGGTGCGCTTTTGGTGTTACTTCTCTGTGCGGTGTTATTGACTATTTTCAGGTGTCTTTAATGGGCCGAAGAAGATTCCTGGGGGATCATTTATCGGCATTTATGCTGGCGAGTTACTGACCGTGGAGGAATCTGACCGCCGTGGAGTGTGAGTGCCCAGTGTATGTGCGAGACACGTGGTCTTAACTGTCGGCTAGGCTATACAACAAGTTCGGACGAACTTACCTCTTCGATATTGATTTCCATTATATGGGTGCGGTTGCAACGTACTCTGTGGATGCTTATCACGCTGGAAACGTTCGTTTCCCTTATGATTGTTTCTTCGCTCTCTGACGATTTTTATTTAGTTCACTCGTTTTCTCGCAAGTTTATTTTATCTCAAGTCTTTGCACAGAGCTAACGTTATTTTTTGCTAGAACCACAGTTGCGACCCGAATTGTGAAATCAATCCGTGCTATATCAACGAAGCCAATCTCGAGAAGCCGTTGTTGACAATCTTTACCAGGCGAGATGTCGAACCATTCGAGGAGCTATCTTTCTCATACATGGGCTGCATCGATGATGACATGGTATGTCATTTATTTCAGGTGCACAATTCAATTAGACTGACTACCTTGTCAGATATTCAAGGCCAAAAATGTGAAAAAGAGCAACGATGCGGTCTATGCGGAGTGTCATTGTGGGAGCGCAAACTGTTTGGGAGTGTTATTTTCGTAAATAGCATTAATTTTCACTCGCTGATTTGACCCGCTGTCATCGCGTCCTCATTGTCTCTTTAGCCATGAGGCTTGCAATTTATATCTGTGCGTTGTGCGATAAGCTCCATGTATCTGTTCCTTGCCGCATCAACGCATGTCGCTTTTAATGACTGCAAGCACTATCAGTACTTCCTTGGCTTAATTAATAGTTAATAGTAGGCTAGAGACATGGAATCCGGAATGAATTTTCTCAAGTACTAACGCTGTGTAAGTATGTTCCTCTGCCACATTTCACTATGTTCAGTTCCTGGTGTCGAGATGAATCACTAATGATATTGTCATTAAAAGCCATAATTCTCCAGACTCACGTGATTTATGTATTAGGAACCCGCCACATCGGACGCGTTTAAACTTTGCGCGCCCAAAATATCATCCGTGCTCGTAACGTTGCGAAGCTAAGGCCATCCGCTGCCAGCAGGAATGTGGAAACTTCATCCTGCTTCCTTCAAGTCTGCAAGTTTCATTGACCGTCTGTCCTCAGTGTCCTGTTACAAGTCCATTATCAATGGTTGACACTGCCTAATGCAAAGCACTGTACTGGCTATCCGTTTAAGTAACTTCCCCCTCACGCCGCTCTCACAACGGCGATTTTGAATATTTTTAGCGCTACGTACATGCGTGTTGTGCATCCACATGATCCTCCAGCTGAACCTTTATAAACAGCTGCAGTTCAACTAGTCGCGCCGTTGACCCACACAGTATCAATGGCCCCTTCTCGCTACGTTGGCATACTGGCGCTTGTCGCGGGATGTCTTCTGCCTTCCAGTGTCCTGGCTCTCTGGCCCATCCCAACTACACTCGAGACAGGGGCGACCGCACTCAAGGTCTCCCCTTTCTTCTACTTTGATGTGCAGGTTGAAGGCGCGCCGGAGGATTTGTACGAGGCGATCGCGCAAGCACAATACTATCTTGCAAACGACAAATTTGCACGTCTTGTCGTCGGTCGCGGCGCAAATGACACAACCGCCCTTGTTGGCGCGCAGACACTTTCGACGTTGACGCTGTCTCTCACAAGTTCGGCTACTGCAGAGCCTATTGCTTCTGAAGCTGTGAAGCCCCTGGGCACCCGTAGCGAAGAGTACGCGTTGACAATCCCAGCAGACGGCTCGGCTGCTACTTTGACGGCGAACTCGACGTTGGGTCTGTACAGAGGGCTCACCACCTTCAACCAGCTTTTCTACTATTACGCTGAAGTAACCTACACTTTGATTGCCCCAATTGCTATTACGGACACTCCTGCATATGTGAGCAGTTATTTTTTTGATGTCAGCTGCTTGAAACTCACATGCGTAGCCTTTCCGAGGATTAGCGCTGGATACCGCGAGGAACTACTACCCCGTCATCGACATTCTGCGAACTTTGGACGCAATGAGCTGGGTCAAGGTGAATGCCTTCCTCATGTGTCACCTTGTGACCGCTCACAAGTTAGACAGATCAACACCTTCCACTGGCATATCACAGACGCTCAGAGTTTCCCGCTTGAAATTGCGCAGTATCCCGAGCTGGCTATCAACGGTGCATACTCCCCGCAAGAAGTTTACACCCCGAGTGATGTCCAATACATCGTTCAGTATGCTGCTGCAGTATGTTTTTCTCTCCATCCGTCCCTTTTGGCCGCTTATAGCCATCTCTCAGAGAGGTATCGACGTTCTGATGGTCAGTATTTATTAGTTGACTTCGCAAAGGCGGGCTCACTGTTTTACTAGGAAATCGACACACCCGGCCACACTTCCATAATTGCGGCCACTTACCCCGACTACATTGCGTGCTTCGATGAAACCCGTGGGCCACATATGCCAACGAGCCCCCCGCCGGCCAGCTTCGTTTCGCGCTCCCCGAGGTCGTGAACTTCACTGCTTCATTGCTTGCCGATGTCGCAAAGGACCTGCCTTCGTCCTACTTCAGTACTGGGGGCGATGAACTGAATACGGAATGTTACACCAACGACTATCCCACGCAGCTACAGCTCAATAGCACGGGCACGACATTGAACGATGCTCTGAACACGTTTACGGAGGTGACACATGCTGCACTTATTGCCGAGGGAAAGACGCCAGTCGTATGGGAAGGTCCGTCCGTTTCTCCTTTCGAATAATAGCACTCGATGAAGCTGGCTACTCAGAGATGGTCCTCGACTGGAACCTTACACTCTCCAATGAGACTATCGTGATGTGAGCATATTGATATTATGATCCGGTTCCGCTTACTCAATTGTACCTGACAGGATTTGGATTTCCTCCGCGGATGCTGCAGCAGTGGTAGACAAAGGTTTCAGGATCGTCCAAGCACCATCTAATTACTTTTACCTGGTTAGTTCCCGCGTTCTTCCCACAGTCAAGACACCCTTATCTTATCATCATAGGATTGTGGTGCTGGTGGATGGGTGGGAGGCGACCCAACTGGGTTCGTCCTCATATCGAATTTTTGATCTGAACTGACACGCCTTTGGAGATAGAAATAGCTGGTGTGACCCCTTCAAGACCTGGTCTGAGGTACCATCTTATGATTGTTTCCGATGACTGTATCTCATAATATTTTAGGCATACACCTTCGATCCCTTGGCAAACTTGACAGAGGCACAGTACGAATTCGTTCTTGGAGGTAAACACGCGTGATAAAGTCTCGAGATAATGCTAAATGTCACTTTCTAATTCCCAGGCGAGCAACTTTTGTGGAGTGAGCAGTCAGGTCCCCAAAATCTCGACCCTATTGTGTGGCCCCGTGCTGCATCTTCAGCAGAGATTTTCTGGAGCGGTCAACAGCCCACAGGCGCCCCGTTGAACGTCACAGAGGCACTACCTCGCTTGCAAGTCAGTACTGCTTCTAGTTCATTGCTCAGATGACTGATCGCACATGAACAATCCAGGACCTCCGCTACAGGATGGTACAGCGCGGGCTCAAACCCATCCATCTCCAGCCTTATTGGTGTGCGCTCAGGCCTGACGCATGCGACCTGACGGCTTGATAGTTGTAACTTCTTGCTAGCTCTATTTGATCTTCATGAACAATCGATAACGATACAACATTGTCTTGATTTAGAATGCGGCATCGAGTCAGGTACTAAAGGTCAGGACGCTTTCTCGGATGTGAAGACGGACGGTGCGTTCGGCCGGCCATTCAAACTTCACCCACTCCAATGTGCCCGTAATAGTCATGTTAGCTAGAAAGATTGCGTGAGCAAAGAAAGAAGACGAGCACGCCATGACATACCTTCGTCGCCAACATTGAAATTGAGTGTTTTGAACGGTAAAGACCCACCATGACCTTGCCTGGGTGGAGCTCCAGGGTTGAAGAAACTCGTGAAGCTTGAGCCAACTTTCCAGACAAGCACGACACCTTCTTCAAGGGACACAGTCACGAGGCGGCGTCCGTCAGGTGAAAACGTACACGCCGCCGGTCGGCGTTTATGTCCTTCGAGAACATACAGCTGCGTTGCTGTCTTGAGATCATACATAATGAAAGCGCCTTCGCTCGTTCCGACGGCAAGGCGTTGAGTCGCCATGTGGAAGTCGACTGTGGGGAACCTGGGAAAATTATAGGGTCACCATATGACAGATGCCTATGGAAAAGTTAGCTCACGTCTTCACCACATGGCCGATGATTTCGGTTGCACTGTCGAGCACGGCGTCCCGGCTTGCAGTAGAATTGGGATCCAGTGATTTGACCACGGCTTCCATCAACCTGGGGAGATTTGGGTACAGGATCAGGGGTCTCTGATGACACCGCCAAACATCAGAAACCCAACGAAGCATTATGCAGTCCCAACACACACCTTCCTGATCATGAACGCTACCAGTTGCATGACTGCTTTCCGCTGGTCCAGCGTCTTTGGATTGAGAATGTCTAGTGTGAGCGTGGTCATGAAGAAAGGCGTGCTACTCGATGCGATTTGCAAGACTGCCAATCTTGCTTGGGGTCCGATGTTTCGAGCTGAGATAATTTCCTTACGTGTGTTTGTAGCGAGGGTGTACAATGCACGGAGCATCGCCATAGCATCGATGTAATGCTGCCATATCTGAAATCCGCGTGCGCACAGGTCAATGACTAGACCACGGTGCGCAGATGATTCGTCGTGCAAATACAACACGATGGACTTGGAGATGTCGATGAGTGAACTAGAAAGTCATTAAGGTTGGCTCACAGAGAGAAGGTTATTGTTACCTGGTGGATAATAGACTGTATTTCTCAGCTGCCATGTATCCGCAGATGAATAAAGCGAGTGAAGATTTCGCGGATTCCTTCTCGATTGAAGGCTGCAAGCATGGCACTACATAGATGTCAAATGATTCCTAAATGATATAGATATGCGCCAGCTTACGGTGGTGTTGCCATGCATCAACAAGGGCAATGCTCTCTTCATCCGAAAGACGCACAATCCCTGCTTCAAAAAGTGTTTTCGCGGCTTGCCGGATGTCATCTGCAAGATCAAAACGCTTTATTCGAAGTTCCTTAGACAGCAGTAGATGACCTACTGGATGAGTCGAACCACTGCGTAGCCAAATACGCGACGTCTGGGGCTTGGTATGACGCACCCACCACATGGGCTAGGGAGGTAGAGTAGAATGTTATAACTGTCTGGCAATCATGCGACAGCTCTAGACAAGCTGATTCAGAGGCAGATGGAATAACATCAATGAAACACACAAACCTTCGGCAAATGACAAAATCTTCAAGACCGAGACGATCGCGAGGACGCGATCAGCAGAAACTTTTGCCGACATTGACCAAGCGTGAATGGTATGATCATGATGGTAAATGGTGGTGGCAAGCGCACTGGACCCAACGCATGGCTTAAATGATTCTATGCAGACGCAGAGTGACAATTGACGTACGATGCAAACCCTACCGTGCTCGACGTTGGGCTGGTACCAAGCCTATTTTCGCAGATTTCGTCTATGTCAGGACTGAGTCCAGGCGTCAGCAATACGGACAATACAGCACGAAGCTGTGAAAGTGTAGCGTTTGAAGGGGCAGATGATGATGATAACGCAAGTCCCAAAGATTTAACGTTCACGGAGGTGTATTTTAGGAAGCGATCTAGACTCAGCAACAGGGTGCACACTTGAAGGGGCGAAGATCAACAACACTGTCACATCCTAAAGTAACGATGATTGAATGAAACACGTACATGAAACATGCCCAGCAGATCCACTAAGTATCGAAATGGAGATTGAGGTCAGCTCCGACTTGTCGAGGGAGCTTGAGACATCGTCAGGGTCTATACTGAGCGGGTAAGGTGTGACTTACATGTTGATCCAGCCACCAGCATCGACGAGCTCTTTGGCTTTCTCTTCGTTCGTTGCACGAAGAAACTCGCCCGACTCAACATCCCAGACACGCGCACTCCCATCTGCGTAGATCAATAGTGCACGGTTGTTGTCATCCCCACCAGTATAGATGCGGGCTATCGGAGAGGACGCCCCAGGAATGAGGTAAAGCCTAGGTCAATTTCATTAGTCGCAGAACTAGTGTCTGGTCAATTAAAGCCTACATTTCGAAGCCTTCTATCGATACCACAGTAATAGTTCCATCGCCTGAGACGCATAGTAACGATCCCCGTAGAGGCCCTGCATTTTCGTTGGATTGTAGCACCTGCGCTACACGCGTCAGAGGTACGATAAACGGAGTAAATCGCGCTTGGAGTTTTAAGGATCTAGTGGACTTAAAGTTGAGCTGTACTCCGTTGATGCAGGTGGTGTACGCACTCCAGTGCCCAGATAGCAATGCCACCATCATCTGTTCCTCCTAAAATATATCGTTCTCCCGTGCGATCATTTCGGACAAGATGCATGTTCAATATAGACGAAGGCAAGCTCATGTTTGATACTTTGTCAAATAACAAATCATCACCAGATATGGGAGAAAAAGCGGAGAGGGGCGCAGATTGTACACGGCACCTTCGCTGCAAAAGGCACAGTAATGAAGTCTGTCGAATGTGGCCATCACCTGTAACCCAAGATTAGGTGGCAGGAGTTTGGAAGTGTGATCAGCACCGACTGTAACCCAGTAAGACAAAGTTGAGCTCCACGGGCAGAACAGACATCAATGTTGCTCCTCCTGGGATGGTACCACTGGACGGACTCTGTGCTCTCCACAAACTTCGGCGCTGCTGCTTGGTCGATACGTCCTGCCTGGGATTGATAGTATGAACCAAAATCTCCTTCTGGCCTGATCGGAGCTGCCTGAGCGCAAAGACATCGTGAGGGGACGATCTTGACCACGATAGCATCAATGAAGGGCCACCAGAAGTCGTCGACGTTTGAATTGCTCTGCGATTCTTGCAGTGAGCTCTTGGCTGCATAGATATGAGGAAATACATACTGAGTGATCATCGACGTTCCAGAAAAAGCAGTTCCAGTGTTATTATCGGCGTCAGCGCGCCGCAAACAGTAGTAAGAGATGGTGTCCTGCAACAATTTTCTCATTTAGCGTTTGATTGAATAGTATCCCAGGGTATACTAACACTAAGTACCACAAACGCTTGATCATCCATGAAATGCACACCTTGGATCTTACCCCGGCTCTTGAAAGGAACAGCGAAAGTTGTAAGGTCTCTCTCTTGTTCTCCTGCAATAAATCCCTTGAACAGAACCTTCAGTTCTCGGTGCGAGTATCTGATGAAATCCAAAGACTGACCGTAATATCTGTGTTCGACCACGCGAGCCCTATAATCCTCTCATTCAAACCAGCATAGCGGGCAGTAATGCCTTCAAGCAAAAACTCTGGAGATGAGATCACAATACCACGGGATTCTTCTTCCTCTAGTTGGACTCGCCCAAGATCGATTGTGGGAGAGATGTTCTCCTGCTCTGTTGCAGGATTATTATTTTGACCCAAGAGGGCAACACTCTCGACGCTTTTGCTACCAAACACTTTGAACGGGTTCGGAATCGCCAATGACTTGCTATCTTCTTGTGAATGAGCTGGAGAAGAGGTAAAGGACCGTCCGCGAGCTCGTATTTCATATGCGGGGATGATAGTTAAGCGCCGAGTGACAAGGTAATTCGTTGAATTAATGTGAACTAACTGAAATGAACCTTGAGAAAAGATAGGATGAATGTTACTAAAGCAGCAAAATACATCCTACCGTCGGTATCATTCATAAGTAACTCTACTCCAGCGGCTGGCCCATCGACTTGCCAGACATCGGAGGCGAGCCTCTCGAACCTTGTTGGATGCACACCATGCGGGTCCCCCACAGAAAGCTCAAACATATTCATACGCGCTGTGGAATCACGAGGTTCATCTGCAAGGCCAAATGTCTCTGCAAAAGGAGGCTGCGAAGGTGATGCACACGCCAGAATGAGGTACGTTGGCTACATCGATGTACAAATGAACTTTGCGGAAGCACAAAATAATAAGAAAATGACGTACGTCCCCCGTAGGCACTATCCGAATAGTCTCCCATTTCCAAAACTGATCCTGATATGATCTTGTACTCGTGCATTCACATGTTGCTACACACGTACTGTCCCGCATGTCAAAGGCAGATAATTTGCTAGGAGGCTCAATGGGCTGCAATGTAGGTTGGTGGCGATAGAACGCACCCTGATTCCTGAAGGACCACCAATAGGTCCGCCGTCTCTAAATACCGCATGCCAGATACCGCATGTCCAGGTCCGCAAGGATCAAGGATGATACTTGCTTTAACCGTTCCGCAAGACGGTGAGCCATCGAAGGGGGATAGTTGACGAGGAGACGGCAGTACCGAAAGAGATCCCGAGGGGAACGCCGGGGAATTTGTGGCCGAAAGCAGCGATCTGGGATCATCCTTATTGTTGCTCGTGCTAGAAGCACCTGAAGATGAGTTTGGCAAGGTGGGCAGAAGCGTTGGAGAGGCTGGAGCAGGCGACTGCTCTATCACTACGCCTCTATCAAAGTTAGGAAGTATTGAGTCTGCGAGAGTGCGCTTGTGCTTGCTGTTGCTCCTGAGTATGTCCTTCAATCGTCCAGGTTCGTCTTCGAAGTCAACGTAATTCTTCGGGGCTTCTACTTGTTCGCATGATACGCCAGAAACCACTCGCGCTCTGGCGGATACATTGATTAGAGCTTGATTGAATGATAACGACGAGGGTGACTGGAGGGATCGAGAGTGCCGACGAGAGTGTGAGGGAGATGGAGATGGGGCAGTGGGTGGATTATGCTCAGAAGGTGGTGTGATAGTGGGTCGTGCACGAGAGTCCAAAATTGGAATATTGGTAGGGTGGAAGATGAAGACATTGATGGAACCATTGGAGCTACCGACAGCAGTATGATCTAAACCATTCTCTGTTCTCCAGGATATGAACGAAGCTGTCTGTTCCGAGTTAAAGTCGGACTCAATGACGCGTATTGGAGGACCGCTAGCATCCTGAATGTTTGCATAGGCAGGGAATGTGAGAGGAAGGAGCATCACAGTGAACACACAGGACGTGATTCACAACGATTTAAATATCAGGTCATAGAAAAGGGGAAAACAATCTTGTGATCTCCAACTCGGACTCGGAGGCGGTTGTTTGATTCTAAAGTCTTTGTCAAATAGCTGTAAACAATATCAAACAACCTATATGTCCAGGCTTGGCACGTGCCACTTGACGCCCAATTGAAATTTTCATATTGCTTCTAGAATCTAGGCGCGATGTCAAGAAGCCGTATCAACTTACCCCACTTACCATCGATCGATTCATCAAGTTCCGCTGTTTCAGTGATTGATGTCTACGGCGACATTGTCCGATCCAATCAAACACTGTTCAGCTTCTCTGGGTCTAGATTTCCTTTGTAGCTACTTCACCGCGTGGTACTATTGGCCCAGGTCTGGCTTATCATGCTCCTATTCACCTAATGGGTTCATTCGTCAGACATAGCCGAAGACGAGACCAGCCTCAGCATTTCACCTCAACTCCATACCCCAGATTCGGCCCGGATGGGAAACGCGTCTTCCTGCAGCCAGCTTTTCCACCAGGCACTTCCAGCCTCCTTTTTATTGCGCCCACTTTAGTTTGAAATATGTAAATCGACACCACACACAAAACATACCTCTTACACGTTTCAGACAATTTTACCTACAGGATTTGTGCTGCAGTCGCAAGGGACGACCGTGACAAACTGTTGTCGTACAGTGCACCCCAAAATTTGTTCCGTCCATCGGAAGTGGCGTTCCTCCAGTGATGATGCATCATGACTCATGAGCGCCCGACGGTATTAGCAAGGATGTCGAATGAGACTCCTCGATTTCATGACCAAGACCTCATTAAACTGCTTACTACTTCTATTGGTTCTCGAAACTGCCGCCCAGGCGAACTCCGGAGTCAAGTCGATGACTCACTTATAATGTCATGTAACGCTGCCAAGACTGGACACGATCTTGCGCCGCCGAGATCGCACTTTAGAGTTCACCGACGCACCGCTGTCTGCTGATTTCGAGTTCGCCTTCACCTCTTCCAGGTTGTGGAGTGAGAACCTTCTCGTTGACAACGGACAGTCAACGTTACATAAACCCCAACTGGACCGGCTTGTGATACTACCCATACTGTAACGAACAGCCGTATATGTGAAGTATAGATACATTAGAATGTGCTGCTGAACCCGCAGTACTTTTGTTTTGATCTCGGGCTTCTCCTCGATCGCGAATAGTAATAAGTCCCAAAAATTAACGTCCGGTGTTATAATAGATCCCTGGGTATCATCCCATACATAGCCATTCCGTCCTGCGGTGGCGACGCAGTAACAAGTGACCAAATTAGAGGCCTTGTGTTTGAGACAATATAATCAGCATGGGTGTGGAAAGGATCATAATGATGATTTACACTGTCACATCGCAGTCTAACGTCTAGTATTGGTTTGTCTTCGGACAGTAATGTGCCCATCTTCGCACGACGGACTAGGTGTACGTCTCATGTCGTGTGCCTGAGGGAACATGTGTTAAAATCTATAAGGATGAATGATGAACCAAGCGTACGTTGAGGGCTGCAAAGGGATGCGTAGCTGCATGTTGCCTCTGCTTTTGCATAGCATGCTCCATCTATTGAAACCATGTTAGCTGTGTACTGCGCAAGGCACGTCTCAGGAACTTGCCTTCGCTCTACTATGCGATCCTGAATTCGAATAATGTATCATATCGTGTGGCACCGCAGACATGGTCGGCAGAGCTGCGAGAGAGTGCCTCATGGACGGTAATGCAACAAGCTGAGGGGGAGGAGATGATGCAGAGGAATTCGATGAGCTATCCGAGTATGCCATCGATGAATTAGAGTTGGTACGCTGGTACTGCATAAGAAGTCACTTTTGCTTGGATGAAAGTTTGTTGCGAGTCAAGGTTTATATCATTCTCGTGAACGCCGGTATTGCCACAGTAGCTTAGCATTGGCACGGATATTACCGAGCCATGATGCAGGTTGACTAGACCGTGAAACGGGAATCTTGTCAGTATTATGAATTCCCCGTGCAAAGGCGATCAAGGGGCGGAATGAGGGGCTAGACGTATGCGGCAAAAGCTAACTCGGTTTGAATAAATTTAAGCCCAGGCCACGTTGTTTCCTGCGTACTCGTAGTCAATTCGATTCAGGCGCCCTGGAAATGCCGCATCCTATGAAGAACGTTCTGACTCGGAGGTGACAACTCCCTACCAATTCAGGTTGAATACATAAGCATAGCGTGTGTTTCGCAAGCATTTCTATAATACATCCGTCGGGTGTGTTTCAGCGTGGCTTGGTCATGTAAACAAGCATGTAAACAGCACCAAGGCGATGAACTCACTGGTTGGTGATTACACTATTTCGTCACGTAAGTATATTTCAACTGCAACTATGCTGCAGTACATCATTTACTCTTCCATAGTCCATCGATGAGCAAATGCTGCCCGCCTTTCCGAACGAACATTCCACTCATTTCCGTCGAAATACCACAATGTTCGGTTGCTTCCTGTGCGGAGAATGATGTGTTCTATAGAAGGGCAGTATGTGTGGAGTTCAGTTGCAAGCATGCGTTGCAGTGAACCTGTATTGGGAAGGGGCGACCATCGGGATACATCGACTTCGAGATCTCGTAGGTTATGCATAGCCAAAAGAGCGTCATGAATCATGCTGCGCTTAAGGTAATGATATAAAGATAAGCTATACGAAAGAGGTAAAGAACTCGACTTACGTGGGGAAAAGTCATTGGTAATTGGATAATGCCAACATAATGAAGGTCAGGGCACACAAATGAGATGAGCTTGATCGCTTCCACCGACAATTCCTCGGGCATATGAATGATGTTCAGTGAACGAAGAGTTCGCGAGAGGGTAGAGAGATTGGGAATAAAATCCAAAAGTTGCTTGTTAGTGCTTCTATCCAAAGGTATGCGAAGATGGCGAAGGCCGCAAGGAAGGGAGAGTAACTGCATGGCTGAAGCGAGGTGCCCATCGAAGGTGCACAGGTCAGGCAAGCTACCATCTTCAAATTGCGGAGCATCTTCATCTATACCACCCGAAAATTGGAATTGCTTAAGCTTGTTCTGGCTCTCCAGGAACTTTACGATGTGTCGATTCCACGGGAGGCGAAAGTTTGCTTCTCGGAGCTGAAACGGAATTTTTGGGATGTCACTCAATATCCAAGTATTAGCACGGGCTGGATCATCAATGTAGAGCACGTCCAGACAACGCATTTTCCAAAGTGCTTTTTGTAACATGTTCCAAAAGCGAGTAGGCAGCTCTGTTTGTGTGCGCCTTGCACTCTGGTAGAGATAAAAGGAGCGGACGTATGGGCCCAGACGCTCCTGCGATACGATACTCTCGCACGCTCGAAAAATGATGTTTATGTCACCGGACATGATAACCTCGTATAGCCTGATCTCTGCAGATTTCTGAAGAGACCTGCTGGTCAGGCACAGCGCAGTGAGATCGCATCGACGTGTCCAATGGACGATTCGATGATATGCCTCAGGAGGCAGCACCATTGTCGTTATATTTGACATCAAATGCCAGAAATGAACGACTGTCAATCGCGACAAACGTTGAAGTCGCGTGTATGCATGTCAGCCAGCCAGCTCCACCTCGATACTTAAATTTACGTACGATACGGTTGAAATTTAAAATATGGTGTCCTTAGGATGGATCCAAGGTCCAAGGCCCAAGGGGAAGTGTCAATCTAGCTCCGGATTCCGAGGTCAGTGGAATAATAAATAATTCAGGGTTGAATTCACCTGAACAAACTGTTACCGTTGTGATGATGGATCTGGAAGGAAGATCACCCAAGAGGATGAGCGGTCGTGATCAAGAGCAGGAGTAATGTGTGGCACTGAAGAAAGAAGACAGAGGAATCCAAGAATCGAAGCCACACGTTTTTGCCTTTTGGACGATTTCGTAACCTTTGCACGCTTTTTGCTTCCTCCACTCACTAGACATTTCTGCATTTCAATTATGATGGCTGTTTCGCGCTCAGATCTGCTAGCTTGGTTGAACGAGCTTCTACAGCTGAACTATACCAAGATTGAACAATGTGGTACCGGAGGAGCCTACTGTCAAATCCTTGACTCCATCTATGGTTCGTGCAAACCTCATTCTCAACTTCACCCAGATCGCTCTGGAGGTCGGTCCGTTATGATTTCTAAAGGTCTTTTGCAGGCGATCTTCCAATGGCGCGAGTTAAGATGAACGCAAAGCACGAGTACGAATTCGTCGCCAATTTCAAAGTCATGCAGAACGTCTTCAAAGCAAAAAAAGATTGATAAGGCGTGTTTTTCATCCCGTCAACGCGTAAATCAAACTTACTTTCGCTCTTCTAATGTAGCCTATACCCATCGAGAAGCTTGTCAAATGCAAGATGCAGTGCGTTGATTCATGGAGCACGCAATACTGTTACCCTGATACTGATCATGTACGCATCATCAGGGACAATCTAGAGTTCTTGCAATGGATGAAACGATTCTGGGATTCCAATTACGGCGGACAGGGCTATGATGCGGTTGGACGTAGGCGTGGTGCACCAGCTGAACCACCAGCGACTATTGCTCCGCTTTCGACCGGGGCGCGCAGCGCCAGTGCCGTTCTGGGGGTCGGTCGATCCGGTGGAAAGACGCCTATCAGCGGACATCGGGCAGGCTCTACGCAACCCAATGAAGCCATGCAGGCATTGCAGACCCAACTCCGTGAGATGTCGACGCACATGGAAGGCCTGGAGAAGGAAAGGGACTTCTATTTTGCAAAGGTATGTCGGCACCCATCCCTATCGGACGCACAATTTGACGTTTGTACAGCTTCGGGATATCGAGATCCTCGTTCAGCAACAATCAGAGACACTGGAGAGCCAAGGCAAGGAAGATGATAACCTTAAAGAGATTCAAAAGATCCTTTACTCAACAGAGGTAGGCACCACCTTCATAATCATCTTCATCTTTCTTTAGCTTATCCGAAACTCACCGGCCTGAGCAGGATGGTTTCGAAGTTCCTGAAAACGCTGCTGTCGATGAAGAGGAAACTTTTTGATTGCGCATGCCGGTGGAGTATAGGAAGAAGTCTTTGTGTCATATCCTATGATATCACCTCTACCCTCAAAATCAAGTGTTCATTAGCATTAACTTCTCATTTGCACATTTCGTCGTTCCATCCTCTGTCGTTCATTATAATCGGAGTCTACCTAACTGCGCTCCTGCACTTAGCTCTAATATTCGTATCTCTACGCATTTGTGGAATCTCTCGTTCTAGACCTTTAACAAAGAACAGTCACCAGCGGTAGTTTCAAGGGATTAGAACCGCAGGCCCAATGCAAATTTCAAGGTGTGCTCTAAACTACCTACACAAATGAAGAGAACCGCTCCTCCTGGCTCGAGCTTCCCAACTTATGATCCGATCCATTGATGACAAAGCAGTTACATGTACAACAATTAGAGTTACAATTACAACATGGCATTTCGACAGGCTGATCTACGCAGGAAGTTTAGAATTCTTTTCTACTGCCCTCACGAATCTATAGGATCAGTGATTTGCCAGAGTCCTCGAAAGATTGTACGCCGCGGAAATGAGGGTCACATGACTAAACAAAAATGTTAACACAAGTCAAAATGAATAAACGAGAACGTACGTGAAACCCTGGACGGCATTTCCAAGCCTTGGTAATAATTTCAGGCTCCACAGCTCAAAGAAAAATGGAATTTCACATACGCCTCGCCTGACTCCGAGATTTCCTCACTGCACAAGCCCACGTGATTCAAATACAACAGGAAGTCCTTCATCCGTTCAGTATCACTAGACCTGATAGGGTCGAGAAAAATAGGTCATACCTCAAACATCGCCACTGCACGCTGCAAAAGTGGCCTCTCGTACTCACCGGCACGAGTTAAAGCCTCAACGCACCACAGGGTACAGAGACAGAACGTGCCTTCCTCGCCTCCTACGCCATCATCAGATTTGTTCACGTCATACCGGTAGACGAGGTTCTGGTCCACAATCAGCATGTTAATTGTGAAATCTAGGTGGAACCCACATTAGAGGTCAATCCTCCCCTTTCAGGCGTCCTAAGAATCTGCTTGAGTGTGCTCACAAACCGTGCATCAGACTTCGCGGACATATTAGCCTTCCCTGAACAGACAGGTATAAGGGTAAAACATACCGGCGTCATGAAGAACACGAGGGGCATAATGAGCACCGAGGAATCAAGCACGTCTGTCTCTTCATAACTCTGCCCGAAGGCCTGCGTGTCCTTGTTCCACGCCTTGTGCATGATCTCTTCGTAAAGGTCATCGCGTGCGGCAAGCCACTGTAGGCGGTGAGGACAAGGGAGAGAACGTTTATCCGCCAGCCGAAGGCCTGTGTTCGTCAACGTGTGTGAGTGCATCAGTGTGGTCCGTGACTCGTACCTCTATCAATTGCAACCCTGCATATCCAATCAACATTGCTGTGTCAATTTCAAGGCAGAGTGACATACCAGAGCATAATCTTTCACATGCCATCTCAATTATTATCCAGCCGGACAGTTAAAAACTCACCTTTGAGTACTGACGACAAAAGCATGAATCAGCACCAACTTTTCCAGGTAGCAGTGAGAATACACACAGTGAAATGGCGCTCCTTGCCCCGGACTTCCCTGCGATATGGACATTGATACTTAGCCTCAAAACACTCTCGCTTGACGCGTACTGACCATATGGATCTGCAATACAGGTTGAGTCATCGGATAGTTAGAGAAATAATATGAGTCGCACAAGTCGGGTTTCTTGTAGTTTGCGACAACGACTACAAAGTATAGTTTGTACGTCGGAAAATAAAGATCATAGAAGACGCACAGTCTACACTGAGTGAGAGCGGAATCAGCAGCCGAATGCAACCATCAACCTGAACAACTCACAGTTCCCGAACCAATACCCTTCGATCGAGTGTAACCTAGTCAGTATGGCCGCTTATGGCCTGGTCGGAATACTCACCATGTGTCATATGACTTCCAGGGTAATTTAGATGTTGATACCACAAAGGGTATTAGACAAGACTCACCAATGGTCTACCGAACTGAGAGTAAATAATATTAGATGGGCTAATTTTGGATTGGCCTAGGAGCACACCTTCTGTCCGAGGTAAATGCAATCCATCCTTCACCATAATCAGTGCTGATCAACTAAGGAGCATAGGTGGCACTTACAATTCACCGTAAATGTCCTGTCAGCCAGATCAGCTTCCGAGTATTGCAACTACAAGCAATACGTACCAGTTGGACATGGTCGGCTGCACCATTACCAATACTTTTGGTATTAGTCAGATCACGAGTGTTTGATAGATTATAGGCGAGACGAACCGAACAGGCTTAGAACCTTTGTGTCCATCAAGATGGAGAAGCTCTATCTCCTCCAGATCTTTGCCACCTACAGAAGGACGATCAGAGTCGCCTTGTGAATCGCATCATATTAGACATACCATGGATCGTGTACCTTCATGTACAATCAGCCTACGAAGCAATCTGAGAGAGCTCAGAAACGCACATAATCTGTAAGGAACCATCTGGGTTCTTGTTCTTCAGCCGCTCAAAGATGAATTCCATATATGCTGTTAGTGAACGGGGTCAGCACGGGCTGAGGGCAGCATGCAGGGAAGAGACATCCCATTCGCCTCCTCCGTGAACCCGAGTCTAATCAGAGCATATAGCGTGAACGAAGAGTCACGAATCCAGGAGGCCCTGCACGAGTGGTACGACATCAATCGCTGAATTATGGGGAATATTGGATGTATGCATACCGGTAGTCCCTATATATCATATGTTAGTGAGGAAATCGAAGTACATGAAGAAGGACAAGCGCACCAATTTCTAGTCCCACCAATGTATTCAGGCAAGCTGAATGTCGGACTCGCGACAATGGCGCCTACATGCGGAAAGTAAGCATAAGTAATATTAGCACTCAAATACAGAAAGGCTAGACGCCCGAACAAGAGGGAACACGTACCAGTGGGTTCAAAGATGAGCAACTTTAGTGCCAATGCACTTCGGTGCACGGCCTCTTTCCACGAGCCCTGGTAGGTGGATTTCCTGATCCAAGAGTTCCAGTAATTATTGGTAGACTGCGAACACAAATGAGCGGGTAAAACAGAAACTAAACGGCATTCAAGCAAGGGAACGTACGACAAACAGGTGGTCGAGGAGTTCCTAGAAAGGGAGCGTCAACAAGCTGAAAGATTAATAGTCACCAAAACGCACGCTGGTCATGACTGGATCATCCTTTGACCTCATCTTCTGCGCGCCCACCATCAACTCTACTTACCATGACCGTCAATCTAATATGCAATAGCTAGAAGTGCTCACTCTGATAATCAAGTCCTAGTAGCTCTGCTTTCTCTTCATCTACACTAGACCCACCATCACCTTTATGCTCAGGCACAATCCGCAACACAAACGTCACCCGCTGACCCTCTACGAGCGTCAACTCCGTCTGCGCGGCCAAGCCCAAGTGACCCTTTGCACTGAGATTCAGGGTCTCCAAAGACACCTCAGGCACAGGGACATTGTCAAGCAAGGACTCGGGGAGGAATCGCAAATCGAGCGTAAGTGGCTCATGCGACGTGTTCTGCGAGCTCGCGCCACTCGCAAGATATGGAGAGGCGGCAGGCCTCGAAGTGAAAACGACCTTGTTTTGTTTGGAAAATTGGAGCGGGATGGTATCATCGGGAACGATTTGGGTGGCGTGAGGGTCTCTGGCATAGTTGAAGGCGGGAGCGCATTCGACGCGCAGCGGGACGGTACCGCGGACCACCTAACGAGTAAAGATCGTGATACAAAGCCTGAGTGGGATGTCGTGCAGCTCACCTCGACACGTCTGATGAGCCAAAACAGCAACGGACGCGTAGATTTGCTATCTTCTTGGCGAGGAAGGAAGTCTGGATGTATGCGATGAAATCCTGCAATTGTTGATGCAATTGACATGGGAGACCTACCGGTGACACTAACTACGCCCTTCTCGTTGAGAAATCTGCCTATGTTCAGTTATGATTCGCATATGGATAAGGAGATAAAGATACTTAGTTTGTAGCACGTTTGAACTCGGCAAATAGTTGTGCTTGGTGCTGAAAGGAACCGTTGGTGTAATGGAAAAATGGCCGCCCTACCGTAACCCGATTAACAATCAGGGAAGCCCCTGAGTATTACGATAGAGCCCAAACCTTGTCTTTGTCCAAGATGCGTGCAAAGATGGACGGGGAGTCGAAATTTGGGACACAATAACTCTCAACTGTGCAGGATATGGATTAGATACTCGTATGGAGGAACTACAGAAGTTCCGGGCGAGCCAGCGCATATCCAAGCCATCCGACTTGGAACCCAACTTCAAGAGAACGTCTTTTTTGTCGCAAACCATCTGAAACTAGAACTACTCACTCGATCCATCAAGACTGACCTACATGAATATCAGGAATCGACAAAGAGGCTATGCACGATCTGGCGCCCTAACTCACCAGCGCAGCAGTCCTCAGATTCCCGATTCTAGGATCTTATCAGAATACGGGTTATAATGTTCATTGGGAAGCTACGTACAAGCCATGGTCGGCAATAGGGATGTAATCGCGTTCAGTGCTTGGGCGTTGGATGTTCATGGTTGGGACGTAGTAGTAGGTATGACCGTGTGCACGGACAGACATGAATCGGTTTAACTGGGGAAATTTACAATTAGCTAAGTACATTGAAGTCAGACACGCTTGTCGCTTCAGACACATTTTACCCATCGTCGCATGAACTTTGGCCAATCGGTCTGCTCGGTGGCCCTGTGACAGCGCTCGTATGTAGTCCACATGTTCACACCCTAATGCACAAATAAGACAAGGACGTAACATCCTCGACAAATTCATTGGATAGCAAGTACGTGCGGCATGCTGACAGATACCAGTACCCGACCCTGCCATGATAACGCCTAAGATGTGCATTCCGTGATGATAAAAATACAATAATTACACTATACATAGCACAAGAATTAAAGCCGTCGTCAATGCAAATTTCCCAGTCGTAAAACTTAGAAAATAATGATACGACGGTTGCACGAGGTGCGAGCTACTCGCTACACTCTTACGCATATATCTCGGTTTATCCTGAGCCTGCAGGCTAGAATAAATAATGACCCGAAGATGATGCTTGATCCCGATAACCCAATCATTCCAGTGTATGAACCGCCCTGGTATTGAATAAGAGCTCCTGCGACGGGTCCACCAACAAGAGAGCTGAAAGAACTACAGTGAGCAGAGATCAAACGAATCCAGCCACAATCTTACGGGACAGATATAAGTGTATACAATGCACCTATTCGAGTTCCAATCTCGTTGATATCTGATATCTGTGCGACGCATGGAGTAATGACGGATATGAATGCACCGGATAGAAAACCATAAACCGCCGCGAAACCCATCACAGCGATCATTGTCTTCGCAAGCATCCAAAAGATGAGGCACGATAGGCCTGCTAAGAAGGAGGTGGGTATAAGGAGGTTGAATCGCCCTATCTTGTCAGAGAGGATCGCGGGAACGATGCGGCCGAATACACCTCCAGCATTCATTACTGACAGAACGTAAAATGCGGTATGCTGAGAAACGAGTGCTTGATCCTCGGCGTAACACACGATATAGAAGAATGGAGTAAATATACCTTGGTTACCCTTGTTAGTTGTAACCTCACGAAAGGACTTGCTTTCTTACCAAGGCAGATAAAGAAGGATCCAGTAGCGAGCAACATGAAGCATGCATCTTTGAACATCTTGACATCTATCCATCCGGAGCATTTCTTACGACCCTCTTTCTTTACGGTAGCAAGAGCAACGACGCAGCATGCCACAGAAAGTAATGTCGATGCTCTAACCGACCATGCATAACCAGTGCGCGAGAAGAGTGTGCGGAGCATAATGGGATAAACGACACCACCTAGACGAACTCAGCAGGATTGGGCGGACAATAGTGGACTGCTCACCAACACCAGAGCCAGCGGCTGCAATGCCAAGAGCCGATGCACGGTACTTATCAAAGTGAGTCGAGACCGCTGCTAAAGAGGGATAGAAGCTATGCGATAAAATTAGAAGTAGACCCACAGCGCTCAGGAAGCAACCTACAGCGACGCAACACTAAGGCCAAAGAAGAAGCCTTGGAACAATAAGAATTGATAATACTTCGTGGAAATGCTTGTCATTAATGTGCTGAAAGTTAATAGCAGTGTTCCAGATAGTATCACAGGTGACGGCCCGTAGGCGTCAAAAAGACGTCCTATAGGTCCTCCCTAGTCTCATGTAACATTGAGCAAAACTGACCTTGGCTAGCCAATATAGCTTACCATGAAGAAAAAAGTCCATAGCTGAAGGGATCCAATCCAAGAAATACTGAATTGCGAATAACCGGCAAGCTGATGACCCAAATACCACGACTGGTATGTTCCGAAAGCATTCATTTGACCGAACGAACAGAAGAGGGCCATGAATGCTCCGAAGACAGCCAACCAACCAGTCCATCCTGCATCTGGCTTTTCCATGTTTGTGGGTAGTAAAAGCGCGTTAGGAGGTTGCAAAGCACTGTGCCGATTAAGGTTTTCATATGCACCCGTCTCAATGCTTGGTCCTCGAAGCGACGAGCAGTCCGCTTGCTTCTCCACGTCCTCCATGGAGGATACAGTTTACCACCACAACGAGAGTTGAGGTAGGATGAGCAGGGAAAGAAAGGTGCCAGCAGACAACTACGGGCAACTAATCGTGTGTCCGTTATAAAGGACTTCCGGTGCGGCAGATCAGATCACCGCTTTCACAGGATCGCGCCGAATATACCGGATGAAGAGGCAAATCTCTTTTTGAGCATGGTGGAAGGAAGCTCGTAATTTCGGTCTTCAGCGCGGAACGTGATCGCACGTAGGCATCGCGGCAGGTCGGTGGGGGCCGTGGTTCATGGGCACTAGTCTCCGCAGTGCCGGTTCAAGTTTCATCATTACCCAGTGCCCATGCGCATGAGGGAATAGACCGAGAAAATTGAGTTATCGGGAGGAACTAATCTAATCAGCGCAAACTCAGCACACCCTACATCTTGACAACAGCATAACATCCACTACACAATCAGGCGCCTGCCCGGGGTTCATCGTGACGATGCAAGCCAAAGGGGGGACTGATGCAGGATAAAGATTTCTCCTTTCTCAGGGCAAGAACTAACCTGCATAACCTGAAGGAGTACATGGAGGAGCACCCGGGACCGTGTATAGCGGAAAGGGAGTCAAATAAAGTCATCCGAGGGCTTCGGAAATTTGGTCCTCCGTCGCCTAGGTTAAGACAAAAAATTTCCTTTGGAGTGCTGAGGCGGAACTTGAATTCCGAAGGATTATTATCTCATTGTTCAAGCGAGTGGCATTAAACGGATAAGCTGCGTCGTACTGGCAGAGAAACCAAACGTGAATTATCTCCTTATGTCAGAGAATGCGAACAAGATCGAGCATTCCTCGGAGGGACACGCTGTAGAGTAAGCGTCAACATAGGATCAAACCCACGCCAGGGGATACTCAACGGGACATCAACGACAGGCAAAATTGCTGCATCAGATCGGAAACGGGGTCGATGAGAACTGCGACAAAACTGCGATCGACTTCGTTCACCCGCCCATTGCGCCGCTACAATCACTACGCAACTTCTTGGCTTTAAGTTCCCGGTAACGTTTAATGACATTTTCTCTTTCTTCTTCCATCATCGCCTTTTGTGCCATACTCAGTATCCCTGTGACTTTCTCTTTCGAAGAGTCTTTGTCTGATCGGGCACCCCGAGGCAGTTTACCAAATCGTGGCGGTTCTTGCGCAATATCATTAAGGCGGCGCGGTGCTGAGGTTGAAGATACACGAAACTCCTTGGGCTTATCACGAGGCTGCCGCTGGGACGTGCTGGTCAATGTGGGCGGTGATAGATTTGAAGCATCCGCGCGGCTAGGGGGTGTGCTGGTCGAAGTGGGTGGCGATGGATTTGAAACGTCTGCGCGGCTTGCGTTATTAATCATCGTCGTGACCTGTGCAGCAGGCTTGGACACTCCCTGCTCAATTTCACGCTTCTGGACTTTCCGGACCTGGGCCGATGACTGCTGCATCGCTGTTCTAATGAGCGGCATCATGCTACTCTCGACTCGCCTACACGCGAGCTTAATAATGACACGCCGCAACCAGATTCGTCTCAAACTCACTTGTTAAAATGAGCTATAGTTTCTCCTGGCTGAATCTTTAGCATCCCCTCCTTCCGATTGTTTACATCATTGGCCAGCCGTCTTCGTTTCAGCTGAGGGCTTTCATCGCCGTTGGGCTCATCGATCTTCCGCTTCTTCTCTCTGAATTCGAGACGGATTTTTGCGGCATTAAGAATGCGAGCTACAGACTTTGGCACCGTCTCCTCATTACCAAAGTGCTTTGGTGCCAGATCGTCACCTCTTTAAATTTGAAACTCATGAGTGAGTGGAGGGGCATATGTAATACGAACACTTACTTCAGGGATCTCTCTCGTTCGCGAACAGCTCGTTTGGCACGTTTGTGCGGCATGGAGACGGCGTAAGATATTGATAAAACGAAAAAGTTGGATGGAAGTGTGAATATTATTTGGTAAATTTGCTGACAGCTACCGGCGGCATTTCCCATAACGGTGTGTATGCGCCTACAGATGCCTACAAATTTCGATCTTTCTTGACTTGGACAAGATCACATAATCAAGGGGCTCCCAAAGTCTGACAGACTCACGGTGACCGATGTGCAGTCGTAAACATGCACATGATGCAACTCGATTTCGCCCGTGAGGCGAGAGATCGCAACTTGAGTGTGATAATCGCAGGAGTTTTGGGGCACTTTTTCAGATCAGTCCGGTGTGCATATCTCAGGGTAGCGAATAGTGAGGAAATTTATTCAATTTATTGTTCGATGAATCGCAAATCCAGGCCACGAAACAACTACGAAGTGTCTGTTTCACGTTACTTACATTCACACAGTATGTGAATGCGATAGTCACTTACTGGTAGTAGTTTAATATGTATCACATGCCCTAGCCTCCGTATCGGACCTTGTAGCATTTGTAGCTGCAACGTAACCCGGAAAAGGGACAACCTTCCTTGTATCAAGTCTGCCTATGGGAGACAGGAGCCCGGGTAGCAAGTCAGTAATACAACAACTTCAAGTCCTTGCGCGACCCGTCTTTCGTCGATGGGGTTTTGATCGCTTAATCTTCCTCACATTTGAAGAGCGTCATGGTATACGGAATAAACGGCTGGTGGTGATTAATAATATAGATACAGTAGAATCCGACCAAGAGCCGCAGAAAATATGTCCAATCCAGTGAGGTGTAGGGAGTTTAAGGTTCGCGCAAAGGCCGGAGGCTCGAGGAAACTAGGTTTGCTGCCAATATAAGCTGCTATTCGTGTATGACCAAGGCTTGAGCATGCCCACGAAGCCGAGAATGCCGAAAAGATACGCGGTTGAAATGACTAAAAGTAGAAAAAGGAATGCAATCAGCTTGCATTAGATAGTATAACCGCAGCTACTTACATAGCTTTCGATTAGGCATCAAACTTATTTCATAGTTTGGTTGAGGTACACCCATAATGTTGCAGAACATATGAGCCGCAATGGGTGGAAGCAATGATCCGGAGCGAAGAAACAAATAGCAGCAGTAAAATCCGAATATGCTGGTGTACGCGAATTGGATAACTATATGTGAAGTGTTAATGCCGCTTGCTGGAAATAGGACAGTTGTGCGTACTGGTAGATATAATTGCACGTTTTGCCGCAGTGGCCGTACGGCCATATCTGTGATATGTTTCAAAAGCGTGATGGATGTGTGCTAAAAGATTCGAGAACATAATGATGAATTTTCATGGCCCAAAAAATCACTGACACATACCTGCGCCAAAGACCAAAGGACTGAGAAAAATCATTTTCATCCTGGAGGCGTCTGCCAAGTGATAGACAGTGAGAACACAACCGCGAAACACGATTTCTTCGGTGATCGGAGCCTGTTACAATGCAAGGTATATTGCAAGCAATACTTTACAAAGGACTCGCACTCACAACAAAATAATTTCGAAGACCGACAATTGAGAGAAACCGAAACACAACATCTTCTTCAAAATCCCAGTCCTTTTGGAATGGTAGTTTCTTTGCGAGGAATTGGACGTAGAGTGGCCCAGAAAATAACAACGGTGTTATCAGGAGCGGAAGTGCGTTCGACCATGTGAACCCAAGGTAAAGCCACGCATTTGCGGTAAGGTTGTGCTGTTTTGCACATTACGGTAGTGAGGCAGACGTTCCCTATTGAGGCAATTTAATGACCTACAATTTCATCATCGCGGTTGAAATTTTTCATCACGATGAATACGATGAGACAGCAGATCAAAGTGGCGCTGGTAACGGCAAGTAGTCGCGCCTTGATAACATCCGGATCATCTCTCCATCGCTCATTTTGCAATTTGAGCCTAGCCTGTCCTTCTGGAAGGTTAACCTTCCTATTAGAAAAGCGGAGACGAGCATTCTTGGATGTATAGATGGATCCAACGTAGATAAAGGCAAAGAGTCCAGAAAGCAGGTGCGCGGATGTAATAGATAACAACGGTTTAGTTTCGTTGTACATGACGAGAACTTTGCAAAGTCAAGGATGAGTATGTCAGAGGAGATGACAAACTTGGCTGGTCCGCGGTCTATTATACCAAGAGGCTGTGGATGGTCCAGGCGAAACTAAATGTTCGCATCCGAAGCGGACTCGTCTATGAAACCAAGTGTCTTGCGTCCACACCCACGTGTAAATGTGGGACAAGACTTCTGTATCAAGGACACCGCGAGGAGTCTTGCTAGCGGCGTCAATTCGGTTTCAGGTTCTAATGGGTATATGTCAAGGACTTGATCAAGGGAGTGCAAGCGGTTAAAACTTAACAATTGACCAAACAATTTAGACGTGAATGGGACTTCACACACGTGATTAAGTCATGTGATCGTTGACAGCCAAATACACTCCAACATGAAAACCAGGTTTGTCCGGGCCATCCCGAAGTCGACAAACTCATTCGTTCTTGTCATGCACGCATCACTCGTTCGTCGTCAGTTGGGGGGTATCGTGCCTCCCAAGATTGCTACTCCATCACTTTTGGTGCGTTCTTTAATTCTTACAGCGTTCCGCCTCGCGTGACCTCTTCTCTTTTTCTCCGCCGTCAAGACGTCGGGCTCTGGTTCAAGCCTCACGCCTCTGGTCAACTTCTACTCAAAACTGCCTAAGGGTCCAGCATCCGCGGTTTCTGGTGGTGGAATTAAAGCTAGATACTTCAGCGGCAAGAATGCGTCCGCCGCCCCAGTCGTTTGGACGATCTTGGGTCTCTTCACTTTCGGATACGCCATCGACTACCAGAGTGAGTAATTTGTGCTTACACATATGTTCAATTTTTGATGCATGGTATTTCAGTGCACTTGAGTAAGTCATCGTTGATCACCTCAATATATTCCTCGTTAAGCGTGTACCAGAACATCACAAGAACCACCCGCACTAGCCGCGTTTATGGAAGTAAGGGGATATTGACACAGAACTTGCTGTATGCACAAAAAATAGACCATCAATTTTCTCAATGTGCATAGACAAAACAGTACATCCTGTGTGGACTTGACCATATTTAGCGCCCTGGTGTTGTGAAAGTTACCACCGGTGAGTAGAACAAATGCCCGACTGCATTAATATCTCCTTAACTTTCTAGTACTCAGCGTCAAGGGGATAATCACGATACCCCCTGTTATTTGTGTGTCTGTGTGGAAACTGAATCTTTATCAAATACAAAACTCCTTGGGCGCCGCGAATTCATCGGAGGTTTAAAAGGTACAGATTTCCGATCTAAAAATGAAAGCACGTTGTCTGCCCTCAACATGAGTTTCAGTCGTGTTTCTATTGACAGTCTTCCTGCGGTCGACGTAGACTTCTTTCGACTCCATAACATGCGCTAACCTTGCTTGAGCTACTTCCCATCTCATCTCAAGGTGGTTCTCGATGGGCCAGTACTTGTCGATGGGTCTAAACAATCTGATGTCCGCAAGGAAAATGCGGCGATTGGTCACTCGTCGAGGAACAAGCATATGCCTATCATATATCATACCTTGTTGCTGGTTCCATAGATTGTTCTAGGGCCATGCCAAGAAGCTGGAATGTTGTTGCTGTTAATGCTTGTTAGGGCCTGTTGGAGCACGTCAAATCGATCCTGAGCAAGATAACTACCTGGAAATCGAGGTACAATTACCGATTGAAGCCTGCATTGTTCGCATGGGTTTGCGGGACGACCGCGACCGTCCTTTTTTATCACGATAACGGCATGCTCACAGTGACGCAGAGCTGTGCCTTCTTTCAGTCATGAGATCTTGAGACTTGGTTTGTGGCTTCTTTTGGGGGATTGTTCTGGCTCTCACCTGCTTCTTCCAGATACGGACTAAAGTAGTGTCTAAACCGAATGCCTTCGGGTGCGGAAAGTTTGATCCCGAGCGGAAGGTATGAAATGCATATGTTACAAGTATGGTGCAATATAATGCTAACACGAATAATGTGGGAGTATCAATATGGGGAAAGATGTTTTGCCCGCTCTCTAAGGAGGGATGCTCGAGCCTCGTCAACCACGCCTACGAGCCATTGCTGTACGACACTGTAGACAAATCTCATCGACATCGTCGATTGAGCGCTGGATTTCGGGTCCGAAGTTCTGGAAGGTATCAACTATGGGCACAGTACGTTGCTACCGTTATCACCTACTTTAGTACAATTTGGTTGCCGACAGTTTGGTGGATGTCTGTAACTGCGTTCGCAGCGAGTTGAATTGCAATCTACGATTGCAATGACGAGATGTCTTTGAAAGTGCTGTGGCTTTTATCAAAGGCTGTCCAAACAAAGAGTATTGTCTTCATACTCCGCATCTTAGCCAGCGTGTTCCTTCACTGCGCAGGGAGTTGTGAGCAAGCATTTCTGCAGGACTGATCTGTTGCTCACGCTATTTGTTTGCACATCGCAGTTAGACGGGTTGATGTGGATGATTGAGATGCAATAAGACGAGAGTGTGTTGATGTCGAGGGCAGATGTAGTTCTCGTACTGCTGAACCCGCCCGGTTTTATACGTTCTCGAGATCGGAATACTAACAAAGAGAGGTGCTGAATAAATAGCCCATAAAGGTTCTAGTAGGATTTGTACATGTATGATGATTGTCAGCAAGATCTCCACATGCCAGCATCCCATGCTGTATATCGTGATTTCTGGTGTGACGGGTCGGAGAGATGATGTGCGATGTTCTTTCTAGGATTCCTTGGTTCTCGGTTCACAGCTTGATTAGGACGAGGTTGTCATGTGGCTGTGCGTGATATTCTTTATCAGAAGTGTTCAGGCTTACGGGCCTCGCATAGCCTCATATTTGTATAAGCTAATGAGTATTGAGTACTGAGTTACAAACATGTACATGTCTTTAGCTGGCTTCGATGAAAAACTGTTTATTTACCATGGGTACAGAAACAATTCAGGTTTGGGTGCCTCATCAGGGATGGACATCCGATTTGGCAGGTGTGGTTGCTGCTCACCGGGACGCCCAGCAAGTTGACATCCGACGCGCAATAGATGAATATAAGATTCACTCCATCCAGGGTACGGCTTGACGTATAGTGTTGGCCTCTGCTGACAGCATCACTACTTGGGAACATGCCGGCGAAGTAAGGCATGGATTGGCATGGATCCCCCTCCGAAGTCCCACGGCGAGGCAGTTCCTGAGCGGCAGATTGAAGAATGTGACCCTTGGCAAGTACTGCCTTGCGCCACAATATGCTGGACGTGAGCGCTGAGCACGTTGCTTTGTGTGACAGGGTGCAAGGCAGCATAGGGGACCGCTTGAAAGCCCACCTATCCAAATTTCATCATTGGAGTAACTGCAAGGTGCCTGTACGAGCAGAATCAATTCTCTTGCGTGATCGATCATTTTATTGTCTTATTATTAGGTGCTCGGCTTATCCATAGTGTGATCAACGGCCCATCACTTCCTTGTTTCGTAACTCACATATATAGAATTTTAGAACTTCCTGAGGGCTAAGCACCGGGCGACGAAGACGTTCATAAACTTGCATGTGGTGCTTCCTTCTCCATAGACGATTGTAGTTTGGACGGGCACGATGTGATGTCGAATGGCACTATCAATCAATGAGATTCCGAAGAATTAGTCTACCAGTGTTTCGAAGTAGCTTAGCGCACACGAGGGAACACTTGAAAGAATATGCTAATTGATGCTACCTAATGCCGGATATCGTCAGGTCGATCATGATTGAGGCCATTGCAGTCTAGGATGTGAAATACGATGCTATGACATTATGACCCGCGGCTTGTGCGATAAAGTGTCGACCCAAGTCTTATTTCAGTGATGCCAGTCGTACCTTTGGATTTAATGCATACATATGTGTGTCCATGATACGTCAGATCTGGCGAACTCCAAGAATCGCTGAAAGCGATGGAAGCTTGTTTTTAAGTTGTCAACCGTCCAGGTCTCATTAGACAATATACTCACACGCAGGTCCGGACACTGATTTGAATGCCAGTAAGAACAACGGGATTCGTGATTGTTTTCTGAGGCCGCCGAGAACAAATACGATTCCAGCTGTCTGCTGAATGGGGCATTTGAGAACATAAGGACACGTTGAATGCGCAGTTGCGACAACACCTTCGATTTCAGTCAGCAGGAATACGTTTTTGCTGCCATGCAGTTGAAAATATGGTGCAGGACTACCGCAGGTCACGCCACGACACATGTAATGTATTTCTGTTAATTTGTTTTCCCGTATTCCCTTGTTCGTGCCTGGTGGCAGCGCATATACACAAGGGCCTGCTTCCTGAGGGTCTTGTATCTTGCTGACGGTGCTGTGCCGTTGTCGTAAACCATTGATCTTTGCTTCTCTTCCAAGAGATGCGTTACGAGAGGTTTACAAGTCGCAGAGCTGAAAAATACCGTGTGTCGACCCTCGAGTGCGTCGGGGCGACGAGTGATCGAAGAAAGACTACATGGACTCTTCGAGCAGTGTCTCGGTATGATTCTGCTGTTCGATACCATCTTGGGTAGCTCCACAGAAATGACAATACCTCGTTGTTCTTGAGAAGTATTATCAATAAAGATCGGAAGTGTTGTCACAACATCTCGATTCTGCACTTTGGGCGAAGACAGACTGTGCCCAATCGAAGCACGGTGGTTGAGAACACATATTCTTGAATGGCATAGTAAAACCGACTGCTAGGCGCATCACGGTGAGGACTAAAGTTGAACACATTAAATTACATTAATTGTACCCACCACTAGCAGTAGGTTGAAGTTCAAAAGATCGGTCACTGATGAGCTATCTGAGACAATCTGGTACTGATTTTCTCAAGTGTGCGGCAGTGCTGTGGAGAAGGATCGGGGTTTCTAAGCGGATATTAACCTATATTAACTGATATTAAAACCACGTCAACAACCTACATGTACATCAGGTCCCAGGAGTTGGAGATTATTATTATGATCCAGGTGCTTGTGAAAATAACACATTCCACGAAGATCTTTGAGGGGTAGAACTGCGACATTTGTGCATGTGAATGATGGATGATTTGATTGATATTGTTTACTTGTTGTTTTGACTTATTTTGACCTGATATTACCTTTAGATCGGCGAAGAGCTTGTCGCAAAACCCTGATCTCTGGACAAACTGTACTCACGCTGGTGAGCTGTCCTCGGATCGAATCGTGACCAAGTTCAAAGCTCCATAGCGTCGTGATTTCGGGTTCATGCGCAAAAATATGTCTGCATCCATGTCGATGCCTAAGTTGACAGTTCAACGCAGTGCGCCTGCTGCCATTGGAACGGGCGTACGCGCGATCCGGCGTGTTGTGGTGCACGCAAGTATTTTGAAAGCCTCAAAATTGTGCTCCGGCGATGTGGTCGCCTTATCAGCGGGAGATGACGGAAACACCAAGAAGGTGAGAATCATATCGCGCATTCCAGCGTCTCCATCACAGCTCATCTGATCATTCTATCGCACCGTGAACTACTTCAAATGATCTCTGATAACAGGATTTTGCAATCGGGACATTGTGGCCTTCTCTGGATATTCCGCAAGATGGTATGTACGATATCAGATAACACGAAGATCCTTGGCTAAGTTCTACATTGCGGTCACATAACCTTACTTTCAGCCATTTTGATTTCGTCCTCACTTTTTCTTACGGCACGCCTCAAGGAAGGCGCAAAGGTACAAGTATTTGACGTGTCCGATCAAGGCGCTGGCAGAACCCCTCCCGGCTTACCAACTACGCGAGATGTTGAGGAGGCTGGCACCATCTGTCTGAGAGAAATTTCCATAAGAACACGGATAACGCAAAATGTGGCCAATTCACAGGGCAAAGGAAAGCATAGAGATTGGCTCACTCTACTACTGCGGGAATACCTTAGTACGTCAGTTTTAGGTGGCGTAGAATGTCGCTGACAGCGCCGTTCTGTCAACGCACGGAATTTCTTTATAGTCAACCTCAAATATATTCTTTCTACTCAGATTATCGAAGTCCCATATCAGGGCGAAATTCGAACATTCTCCATTGATTCTGTGTCAGCCCACCACTCGGCATCAAGTAGTTCCGTGAATACCGTAACACGTGACCTTAACTCGCTTGCAATTCGGGTCAAGCCATCACTTTGGACAGTAGGGTGGGATACGATTGTTTCCATACTGGAAGATGTGGCTGACAATGGCGTCGGCCTCACGCAAAAGGTGCACTTTCTGACATCTCCTGAGAAATATTAATAATCACGGATGACTACCTAGTCTGACATCGAGACACTACCCCACACCTCGATTTCTGATGCATACGCGGCTGTCGGAGGACTTGACAAGACAATCACCCAGATACGGGATCTTCTCGAGATACCACTCACAAGGCCAGAGCTCTTTGGATATTTCGGTAGGCATGGGCAAACACCCCCGTGGACAAGTTTTGATTACAATATCCGTTTTTAATCAGGTCTCAAACCTCCCCGGGGCATATTGTTGCACGGCCCGCCTGGTACAGGAAAGACACACCTTGCACGTGCTATCGCATCATCCACTAACTCATCGGTGCTTGTCATTAATGGCCCTGAGCTTTCCTCAGCATATCACGGAGAAAACAGAATCAAAACTCCGGGATGTATTTAAGGAAGCCCGAGCCAAAAGCCCATCTATCGTCATTTTGGACGAGGTTGATGCTCTTTTCCCAAGACGGGAAGAGGGCGCAGGTAGCGAGGTTGAAAAACGGGTGGTGGCGACGCTTTTGACGATTCTGGATGGTATTGACAATGCGAACACGACTTTTGATGATAGGGTCGTTGTTATCGGGACAACCAATCGGCCGAATGCCATTGACCCGGCGCTGCGAAGACCTGGGAGATTTGATCGAGAATTTGAGATAGGTAAGCGGTAACCTTAAGTGCTACCGAGCCTTAACTAACGGCTATTGCTTTCAGGCATACCGGACGCAGATGCACGCCACTCCATTCTGAACGTCCTCCTCTCCAAAACTCCCCATTGTATAACGGACGCAGAACTCCATTCTATCGCGCGCCGCGCTCATGGATATGTTGGTGCGGACCTCAGTGCTGTAGTTCGAGAGGCTGGGACACTTGCCATCAAACGATGGATAACACACATTCCGCCAGGCTCCCATAGTGATCCTACATCAATGACCCTGAAATTGACGCCATCGGACCTTTCAAATGCGCTTCCTACTGTGCGGCCGTCCGCAATGCGCTCCCTATTTATTGAGACACCACCCGTTCAGTTTGAAGATATAGGTGGGCAAGCCCACATCATACAAAAACTTCGGGAAGCAGTCGAGTGGCCATTATTACACCCAGAGGCTTTCCAGCGACTGGGTGTCCGACCACCAAAGGGTCTACTATTGTACGGACCTCCAGGGTGTAGTAAAACCGTTCTGGCTCGAGCTTGTGCAACGGAAAGCGGTGTTAACTTTGTTGCTGTGAAAGGTCCTGAGGTGCCAATTTTGATTCTGCGTTCAGGCAACACACTCATGATATGCTGTCGTCAACTAGCTTCTCAACAAATATGTTGGAGAGTCGGAAAGAGCTGTGCGAGATATATTCAGCAAAGCCAGAGCTGCGTCACCATCAATAATCTTTTTCGTAAGCGCCGTCCTACTATAAATGATTTGGTGCTGACAAACACAGGATGAAATTGATGCCCTTGGAACATCTCGCTCCTCAGATTCAGAAACTGGAACTGCACATGAAGGGGTTCTGACCAGCCTCCTGAACGAAATGGATGGTGTCCAGGAGCTTGTGGGGGTGACCATTATTGCAGCCACAAATCGCCCCGACGTCATTGCAAGTCTACGTGCTCTGACTATCACTGTTGTATTTCTGACGATGCATCGTCAGGACTCAGCTCTGATGCGTCCCGGAAGACTGGACCGCATTCTGTACGTTGGACCTCCCGATCACGACGGACGCGAGGAGATCTTGAAGATCAGGACAAGGAAGATGAGTGTCGAATCTGACCTAGATCTTCATACAATAGCAGCCATGGTGAGTACGGTCCTGTTGCATCTGAGCAAAATGTAACATTGTATCCAGACCGACGGCTGCAGCGGCGCAGAAATTAGTTCACTGTGCCAGGAGGCTGCTCTACTGACCATGCAGAAAGATATCAACGCCCCATTCGTAAGCTTTCCAAAGTCCCTGGTTTGGCGCACTTTTCTCAGAGCTCTCTGCAGATCCCCCAAAGCGCCTTTGTCGCAGCCGCAGGTGCCATACAAAAGCAAATCACACCAGATGTGATCAACAAATATCAGCAATGGAGAGATCGAACTGGATTGAGGAGTGTTTGAATCAATTCCAGTGGGTTCCTGGCGCTTGGTCATTCGTTTTGTGTACTTACACCACACGTGTGTGTTTGTGTAGGGTAATACACTACTTCTCGTGATTAACTATAGCCTGAACGCTGTGGTAAACTTTAGGTCGAAACGACACAAAATCTCGATTGCGCACATAAGAGCAGGGCTCATCAAGTGTGTTTGTGGTTTTATTGCCCTTACCAACGCTTTGGGCCGGGGGCCGGTTTCCCGGTTTCCGCGCCTACCATTCGCCCTGATAAGCTAACTTTCTCTTCTGATGCTAACCCAAATCACGTCAAATGTTACCACCAGAACTCATGTTGCTAACAATTTCTGGTTGCGCCAAAGCACGCTCTCTTCAACAACGATGAATTTCTCCAAGCTTATCTTTCATCTCCGAATTAAAGACATCCCTGGTGTTCCGATCGACCGTCACGTTCTCCATATCTTTTGCATGATATCGATAAGCAGCTTAGCGGTAATTGGGTCCTGTGAATCAATCAAACCACTGCGCCCAGCAGAATCTCAGCTAATCTCAGACAGCATGTCGGTAATCATCGTGTAAGCACACACCTGCATGATATGTCCGAGGCTCGAGCATCCAATGCGAGGCACAGAAGCACCCAATCTCGATTATGCAGTCAAGCGATGCAGATATGAATGGGCTACCTGGTTGACATCGTGCATTAAACGCATTCTCCCAGGTAAGAACAATTTTAACCTTCATGCGACTGGAAGCCGATCGGCAGCGCGCCTTCAAATCTGTGGCAATACCCACTTCAACGCGTCTGGTTGGGAGACCATCGCTTCAACCCGAACATGATACAGTGACGAAACAGTGCATATCACAGATAAATCGAAAATGCCTGTCAAGTTGATAAACTCGAGAAGAGTATGCCGGCACGACAGTACCGGAGCACATCCGTATGGGAAATCTGTCTCATTACAGACAGAAGAGTACTGTTGTCGGTCTGCCTAGGGGGACCATCATTTTATTCACCTTGCTGTATCAGATTCGATATTATTCGGGGCATAGGAAGTTCTCACCACAAACGCAAGGCGACAAACGATGGCGTTGGGTTCTGCAAAGACCCAAACTCACTTCCCAATTACTATAAACTTACACCGGTGATCGGCTACTCTGATAGCCCAGTGCCTACGAACCTACTACCCATATGCCCAAAAGTCCTGTGCACTGTCATGATAGTTATAGACTGCTTGCACGCGTGGGGAAGGAATCGAAATTCATCCTATGGTTGACCAACGAGACGCAAGTTATGAAACTCATTGTCTCGTTCAATGTACTGGTCCTCACAGGCGTCCATCCTCCACTCACCTTCAGTCTATCACATGATCGGACAACTGCACTATGATTCCCGACTTCCAGTCGTAGATGAACCATCGAGGGTGGCTAAATAAAATATTCATATTCATGTCGTCAACTGCAACCCGTCGCGGCGGTGGTAGTATGCAGGGAACAAGAAACAGACTAGCAGAGATCATTAATGAAATTTAGATGGCATTGCAGAGATGATCAAAATATACATGCTAGAAGCATAACACGATAACACCCGGAGCAAATGCATATCGCCTTATCAGCGTACGGCGGCGGGCCGGTAGCCGTCCCCTTTCTAACTCGGTAACCAGGCACACAGCCAAGACTCGCAGTCAACAAGATCAAATCACCAGAACTTCTTCAACGAGTCGGCAGTCTTAGACTCTTACTGCACAGCAGGGGGAAGGATGTCCAACCAGGTCCAACCCGAGGGCCAGGAGCTTGTTGTCAACTTGTTCCAGTACTTAAAGTGGCGCCACAAGACATGTCGATCAGGAACACTTCTCCACTGAGTTGATAACTTTTCCTTCTTGGGGGCGGCTTGCTTTCTTTGTCCCTCCCTATCGGCTTGAGAGTCTACAGTCGACTTCAGGAGCATCTCTGAATCTAGATTCTTAAGATCGGTGGATTTGGCCTCCCTCGCGAAACCCTAGGCGTTGAAGCCTGCCATGTCTTAGACACCAGAGTGATGGTATCAGGAAAAGATGGAGCTTTGTTGGCTGTGGTCGATAACAACAACTAGGCATCAACGTCCAGTATTCCTTCGTCTCTTCTTAGACAGCTTCATCAATAAGTAAAAATAGATAGTCATGTCGCAGGGTCCTCAACTTGAGTTTCTATACATGCCTTTAACTGCAGTCTCATTCTGCGCAAACGAAGGGTTGGCTCAGGCTCCACTCGATCGGCGCATTACACAATCGTGGAGATGATGGCCTGGAATAGACAGCTGTTCTTTTAGTGGAGTGAAAGACGATGACGTCTCATAGAAGTTATGACCTACTACAATCCTTCTGACACTCGCGAGGTTTGATGAGCCCTTTAAGATACATGTCACTTGCTACCCATGTCGTGAGCGTCAGCCTCCGTCAGGTGCCATTGCATTAGTGTGTACGAGGATACGTACTGATTCGCCGAACATCGAGCTCTATCATTCTCAACTTGCTTTAAGGGTTTCGGCAGAGCCTACTGAGCACCTGGGAGAGGAGAATCATGTCAAATAATAAAGTGTGCAGACGTTCAAGCTCGAGCACTCAAGGTCCGGTCCCCCTTGAGCGGCAGGGTCTTTCGGTGAGCTGGAACACTCAAGTTGAAGCCTTCCCTGCATTGAAATAAAAATCATCGACCTAGGAGTAGGACGCAGCGCTGGAGCACAAATTAACAGTTGACTCGTCTAGACATCAGAGTCCACTTCTGCATCCTCAATATGATACTTAGCACTTAAATAAACAGAGATTTGAAGGACTCTCGACCTCTGAATCACACATACCTGCATGTTTGAACCAGTGTAAAGTCCATGGCATCCGCAAAAAAAAACGCTCTATCCCACGATTGCAGCTATCAACCCGCCTGCGAGCGGTGTGGACGTGCTTATAGTCTATAGATGCCAACAGTGCAACTAGTAATGTCGCCTTGCTGGGGCCACCGGGACCAGGCGAAATTCTCTGAATTCTTGAAATCGAAATCGTCTTGCAATTACTCTTGACCATGACAGAATGTTGAGAATCGTATATTTTCTACCACAATGCATGAATCGTGCTCAGTGCCCAGCGCAGAGTTTACAATATTGTTGGGGACGTCGATGACACGTTGAACGACTCGGACAGGCAAGTGTGCGCTTAGCTGCACAGCCACTCAACACGTAACCGACCTTATTATCTAAGCCGCGTCCTGCCTATAAATTTTTGCATGTCGAACTCTGGAGGTCGATTTGCATCTTACAGAAATGCTCTCACCGCGATTTCTGGGAGGACGGGAACACCACTCCCTTCTCTCGTAGTCTCCTTCGTCGTTCTTCATGAATTAACTGCCATCGTTCCCATCGTGGGGATTTTTTACACGGCACGCAGTCTTGGCGCAGGCGAGCGCGTCGTTAATGCTGTTGCTCTCAACCGAGATGGCTCTATTGACGACCAGTCTTGGATAAACACCCAGCTGAGATCGTGGCTTGATGAAGGCGAGCAGTGGGCTGGTCGAGTCGGACGTCGATATGGCATCTTCGGCTTTGAGAAGGGCGAGATTGTTGGCAAGGCTCAGACGAGCCAGTTGCCTGGGAAGCTAGCGGGGGATGTCGCAAATGCCGTTTTGGCTTATGGTGCAGCCAAGGTAGTTTTTTTCCTCTTTACCACAGTTGGGATAGTAACTAACGTTTGCTTAGGCGCTTCTACCCATCCGCATTGGTCTTTCGTTATATCTTTCTCCGATGTTCTCTCGGGCAGTTGTAGAGCCGATTCGTTTAGGCGGTCTTCGTCTATTAGGGCGTAGGCCGAAATCTTCTTAAAAGGTGGGTGATGTTCCCAGTTTTTTTTTTCATGATGATTTCGCTTGCCGCCCCAGTCGTAGCTATAAGCGTTGACGAACGGTAGAGCATACAGCCAAATATTTGCACCACTGATTCTATTCTATCCTTGCTTCTTTCTTTCCATAAATTCGAAGCTCACTATCTGTCTCACAGGTTATCTTTGATACTCATACATAGGCGGCACATTCTTGCCAGTAATGAGCATACCCTTGGTCACTTGTAAAAGCCGTCTTTTAAGGCAGATGCATTCGAGCTATTTTTCATTTATTTCTCCCAGTCAAATTGGCTCTTCAAAGACTTGTTCCACCTTTGGCGATGCCTCATTCCCTGGGGAGAGCATTTCTGTCTCGTCCTCGTCTTGTGCTACATGTGACTTCAGTGGAGCACATCTGGATGATTTAGGCACATCCCACTTATAACCAAGAGTCTTGCGACTGTTATCATATCTCATTAAAACTATGGGCTCGCTGTTTGTGCTGTCGAGCTCTGATATGGATTAATTTGTGAACTTTCGCGCTGGGTCCAGACACAAATATTGATCATCGTATGGAAAGCCAGACAGCCGCGCTCCCTTAGTCAGTGTCATGTGTCCGTAATAGGTAAGAGGACTTCGTTGCACCTGAAGGCTTCGAGTCATCTGCATCAGAGTCATCAAATTTGCACTAGACCTTGGTTCGGTTTTGAGCAAATTTTTTCTAGGATTCGGAACATTGTTCAACCCATACTGTAGATCGGCTTCGAGTCTCCATCATTTGATTGATGATGACTCGCGCTCACTCACTGTCGGTCAGACCGCTGATAATCGCCACTACTAGTACTACTACTAGTATGTGCATGACCCTCCTGCGTGTCCATCTATGTACCGAATATTGTGGTGACTGGCTCTTCATCTTTACATAAGCGTTTGGTGGCTCCGAGATGTAACTCTGCTGCTGAACTTCTCCATGAGCCTTTTGTTCAGTCGAGCAAACGCGCGCGCGCTATCTCGAGTTCCTCGCGTGCCAAACTCTCCGAGACAGACCAGACTGAATTGCAGTTGTCCTGTTGTCTCGCCCCTGTTCCAATTTCCTTACTAATGCTTGTTTTCTTGAGGGGCTTTCTTGCCTTCCGTCGTTGTTCACCTCATCACATGGCCACGTCCTCGTCTTCTGCTCTGTCTTCGCCATTGGCTTTGGTCCCTCCTGTCTTGTTGGTCACAATGGATCAGCAACTTGCAGGCAATGCTGTGTCCGTCGCATCTAAGCCTGCTTCGCATGAACGAGTTTCGCGTTGACCTCTCTATTGATATCTCCGTCTAGTTGCCCGGGTCTCGGCATTGCTGCGGCAATCGAAAGTATGTCCCGCCCTGCATCAACACAAAACAACATCAGAATGATATGGCTCAGTCTGCCACTTTCAATTCTCCCACCATTAGCTTTCGAATCATCCTCGGTCGCTTTGGAAGAGCCAACGACCGAAGGAGTGTTCACTTCGGCGAGGCTGGGGAGGTTGCATCATCTGCCTGACCGTCAGACTCACTGTCCTTAGCTTGCGTGCATTCTTCTGGCCTCCAGCTCCATCAATGTTTCATTTGGTGGTGAATCCCGACAGTTTTGGTTAGTCCGTCGAGAATCTAGGTTGGCACGTACAAATCTCAGGGATATATATTTCTGAGACAATCCGCATGAGGCGTGAAGGTGAATTCTATTTCATGGACAGACTATCACATAAAAAGGAGGTTGCGGCGCAATGACTGGGCCTAGTTAAGACGGAGCTCTGAGGATCTATACACTGCAAAAATGTTGTCAGCAGGTTTCGAACCGACTGCAAAAGAAACAGATTTCGATTCTGGTGTGGTAACCACTTGCTTAAGACCAGTCAAGATGAGCCTCCGAGGAATGCATCCATGAGTGAATGTCAATGTGTGTTCTGATAGAAAAAAACCTTGTCGTAGGCAGGTTTCGAGCTTGGGCTGAAGTCCGACAGAAACATATTTCGATTCTGTTGTAGTAACCACTTTGGCCAGGCGAAGTTGAAATGAACCTCTGAAAAAATGTCCATCAGTGAATCTTCAAGGTGTGTTCTGAGAGAAAAAAAAATCTCGTCGGCAGGTTTTGAACCTGCACTTGTACAGTCCAAGAGACAGATTTCGATTCTGCGATAGTAACCACTTTGGCCAAGGCAAAGTTAAGATGAACCTCTGAGGAACTGTCCATCAGTGAATCTTCAAGGCGTGTTAGGATAGAAAAAACCTCGTCGGCAGGTTTTGAACCTGCACTGGTAGTGTCATTCTAAGGGACAGATTTCGATTCCGTTGCAGTAACCACTTTGGCCAGGGCGAAGTTAAGATGAGCCTCTGAGGAACTGTCCGTCAGTGAATTTTCAAGGCGTGTTCGGATGGACAAAAAAACTCATTGGCAGGTTTTGAACCTGCACTGGTACAGACAGAAAAGAACCCCTGTTGTTCGGCAGGTTTCGAACCTGCGTAGTCCAAGAGAAACGGATTTTGATTCCGTTCTGGTAGCCACTTTGGCGAGGACAAAGTTGAGATGAACCTGCGAGGAACTGTCCATGAGTGAATCTTCAAGGCGTGTTCCGATAGAAAAAAACCCCGTTGTTAGGCAAGTTTCGAACCTGCAAAGTACTAGAGAAGCAAATTTTGATTCTGTTGTGTTAACCACTTGGGCCAGGACGCTTGCTGGCCGAGTTTAGACGAACCTCCGAAGAACTGTCTATGTCGACAGGTTTCGAATTCACACCACAAGAGAGCAGATTTATAATCTGTTCTGGTGCAAAACGGTTAGCTATGATTACTCAAGATAGGCCTTGAAAAATCCGTCCATGAGTAAATGTTAAAGGCGTCCGAGACTGATAAAGGCGTCCGAGACTGATTCAACAATTCACCTGGAAGATCAGTCACTTGAGTTTTGTAGTGCAGTATAATGAATGTCTGAATGAGCGGAGAATAATACCCCTGGGCTTTCATCCTCTTGGAGTACCGTGGTCCGATGCACTGCACGAGAATCACAACAAGAAAATGGGATTGACGGAGTAGCGAAAGAAGCAGAGATACAAAGAAAATAGGTTTCGTATACTGCAGTATCAATGACCATCGGTGTTTGGGAGAGGTGCGCAACAAATCAAAAGCACAAGACGAGCCAACAATGTGAGGAGTCGTGACCGTACGGTTGGTACACCCGGTCTGTTAGCCTGAGTGCCACTATTTGTATTTGGGGCAAGTTGTGTTGTGGACGTCGAAGTAGTGGCAGGCTGAGATTGCGATGACGACCCCTGGCCATGCGATTGGCTGTTCTGCTGCTGCTCTCGTTTTGGCCGGGGAGCGACAAACAAGGACTACAGAGGCATCACTGAGCACAGTGAACAGAAACATGTAGATGAAAGACAACCTTTCTGTCCTGTACTGCAGCAACGTCGACGGTACGGGAACCGTGACGAGAGAAGATCCCTTGCCTTTGTGTTTGTTGGAGTTCGGTTGCATTGCCAGTATGGGAGTGAGGGCGACGGAAGAGTGACGGAATGCGAGCAAAGAGCGCGCGCAGACTCCCTATAGAAGCTGCGAGAACGCGATTGGAGGAAGGGTGATCGACACCGGGCGACGTGCAGGGCTGGTTGTAAGAGGTGAGAACAGGAACTGGTTCAACAAATGCTAACGACGCACATGAATGTCGCCCTGCATGTCACCAAAGAACCTTGGCGGTGTTCGATGGGCAGGAATAGCTGGACGTCGCGTGGCATCTTTCTAGAGTGACAACCTTGAAATGGTTGAAAACATTGAGAAACACGTCACGTACGTTCATTGGCGACTTTCCAGCTACCGCCTGCGAGTGAGAGATGAGCGTGGGATTTTACTGAAGGATGGTGAGACTTACATCATGCAGGAGAAGTTTTCCAAGACCAGCTTTTTTGAGAATGGCGTGAATGTCCCATGCGTACACATCTTTGTCACCCCCAGTGACTAGCACTTTTCCATCAGCAGAAAGGGCTGCGTATTGCACTCTCTCTTTGTGCTGGAGTGGAGGACCAACTTGGAGGTTTGTGTCGAGACTCCACAGACGCGCCGTTTCACCATTTGATGCACTTGCAAGGAGGTGCCAGCCGTTCTGAGACAAGGTGATGGTGTTGACCCAGTTTCGGTGACCCTCCAAAGTGGCGATCTGCTGCCAAGTGGCAGTGTCGAATATCCTAATTGGGCCATCTGAACCGCAAAATAAATTCCTTTCCATTCCAGGCTAAGCTCCTAATCCAACGATCGTGTTCGATCGTTGTGAGCAGGTCGCCAGTCTTTGCATCCCAGATTTTTACTCCATCTTCGCGGTCGCCCGTCGCAAATTTTGTTGAGTCAGGTGAGTATGTCACCGCGTACACCCACAGGTTCTTGGTCTTGATTGGACCCAGGACTGTTTCGCCGCTCTTGACATCCCATACTCTTGCTGTCCCGTCAAAGGACCCGCTCACGACTCTCTCACCATCTGCACTCCAGCACACTGACGACACTCTCAAAGTGTGCCCTTTCCATCTGGCAATGACCTTTCCTGTCTCCACGCCCCACAGTCTCACTGTCCCATCCCAGCTTCCGCTTGCCACAGTGTTGCCATTTGGAGACAACGCTAATGTGGACACTACTTCTTCATCCACCCCATCTCGCCAGTCATCGCCAATATGTATCCCGCTTTCCAGGTCCCATAGTCGGAGTGAGCCGTCCTCTGAACATGTGATGATGCGTCGTCCGCCAAGCAGGTGCACGACATCTCGTACACGTTTGGTATGGCCTCGCATGGTCTTGCAGGGCATGGCATCAGGCGCCTTACTGGTTGTGGATGACATGGTCGGCGCCCGGAGTCTCGACTACGGTAGATGGTCGATAATGTGCGCGAGAAATGCGCGTCGGGATGGTATTTGAATGAGAACGGGTTATCTGGTAATAGAACATATGACTGGTCGGTCAAGTCTGTCATTGTCAATGAAATACGAGGCAAATCTGACGAGAACGCCTGCTTGCAGGAATTTAGTCCTAATTGACAGGACGGCTTCAGGAATATGTATGTAGGCCGGCCCGGCCCAGTGTGCGATAATTCGTGAGTGATCTTTGTATTATACAAGTCGCCGGTGAGTGGGTGGTCGGCTTTACAGCATAGAGTATCACTCACGAGAAACACCTATTCAGACCAACTAAACTTTATAGTCCTCTGTGGACTGAGAAGGTAAGCGTCGGGTTTAGAGTTGCGGAAAATGGGCGTCCATTCGTTCAAGGCATGTAACACTGTACGTATTCCATGCGTCAAACTCGTGTTCACTTCACAGCTCAAATGCTGTGTAGACGAGGCGCTCGGGTCTGCCACCAGTGCTATGTGCACTTTTTATATGTAATGGACTGCATTGATCACGACGACAAATTTGGACGAGCCGCATTTCCTCTCTGCTTCAATGATGTTCTTCTAGCCAATGTCGAACTCAATGTCATCAGCATTGCTGCATAATTGAAGGCTGTGCACCATGCCATCACCCAGCGTTGTATTTCAAAGTTTACCAAAGCTTGCTGTGCTCTTATTTCTGTTAGACCTTTCCCTCGTCGCCTTCGATGCTGTTCTAACGCAATTGCGCTTCCTTGTACTACGAAGGGAACCCGGATCCAGGGCATCCTTATTCTGGACAGGATGCGATTTCCGGAAGACCAATCACGAGGTTGTCTCAGGCTACCCAACTGGTCAGTGACCGCCGCGTGCAATTATACACAATACAAGTTGACCCTACGGATAAGCACAGTTTTTTCTTCTTTCCATCTTTGCCATGGTCAACCTATCAGACGAATATTCCGCTAGTGACTTTGGGAGGAATCAGGAATCCTCACACTTTTTAATAATCGCACGTCTAGTGGTCGGACCGTCTATATAACCGCGCGTGATCCAAGTTCTCGAGATCGTAGAAATGATTTTCCGTAACTCTTGCTGACTTGACTTCATGTGCCTCGAGGAGCAACAGGCGAATAGGTTCTTTTTGCAATGCCATGAAGTTCTGCCAGAACAAAATTCAGCACATAAAAGCGAGCCGTTTTTCTGCCATCCTCTTCAGATTTATTTGATCCCATATTACGCCTTCACAAACAATGCGTTTCTCCTTGTGTCCTCTACGTTGTTGCTGCTATGACAACATCGGTATCTGCCGGTCCCACTCCCCCGGGTGGAAGATGTCCCAACCTTTGCAATGAAGTCAGTTGCTGCACTGGTCAGAAATGTGTGCCGACATTCGTCCAACAGCTTGTGAGTACCAGCAGTTTGGATCCCAAATTTGTCCACATGACTCACTGGCGCGGTAGAACAAAGTCATCGATTATTGTAAGTGAGTAGCATGTCGCGATAGTGAACTACAGTGAGCCGTGAAGTTTCTGTTTTCGCATCAGTGTAGTATGGCTGACGCGTGAGGAGTTCGTTGCAGAGTTGATCAATGCACTTGCTCTGATCAAATTTCACCGCTGCTCGAGCAATGGAGTTTATATATATATATATAAATCACTTTTATTGTCCTTTAGGATGTTGGACATAGCCCTATTCGAGTGCAGGGGGGCTTACTCACGGCTTTCTATCGTAGTTTGTGTGCTGTGGATGTAGTATGATGCCTGAAATAAAGAGCTTGGAGATATCGCTGTCGATCTCAATCACGATTGCGGCTGAACAACAGGTGAGGAGCAAGTACGTACGTCTTGTCTGTTTCTGCTGTGTTTTAGATTTTCCACCCCGCATTCGCCTGTGACCCAGTCTTTTCCGATAGGGGTGTCGATTCTCTGACCGTACGTCCAGGATATAGTAGGTGGTGGAATCAAAAGGAGGGATGGACATAGTGGACCAGCTAGATGAAGAGAGCGAGACTGGCCTGGATTTATAGTTACATTGGTTGCAGATTAAATAAATATAAGTTTCAGGCCTCGTGTCCTGGGCGTATAATGATACACGAAGCAGGTTGAGGCTGTGAAGAAGCACAAAAAGGCCCGGTACACGCACCTCTGAGACTTAGATTAAGACACCCGCAAGCTCTCCAGCAAGTTGTGCTCAACATCGTCCACCTCGAGCAGGATGACGGGAGCAGAACAGCCCGCAATTCGAATCACCACGACTAGTCGAACATTTGAAGGTCATGAAAATAGTGTCTCGGCAGTCGCAGTCTTCCCCGACAGACGTCGTATGGTGACGGCCTCGGGCAACAAGACGCTTCGTCTGTGGGACCTAGAAGACGGTGTTGTGTTGAAGACAATGGAGGGGCACCGCTTCAGCGTACAAAAAATTGCAGTATCAAGAGACGGGCAATTCATAGCATGCGGTAATTTGGGTGGAGAGCTCATCGCCTGGAACAGAGACGGCGAGCCTCTCACAAAACCCATCAAAGTTCACTCCAAAGAGATCTACTCGCTCGACTTTTCCCCAGATAGCACATCGGTGGCGAGTGGCTCATTGGACACTACAACGGAGCTCTGGAACACAAAAACATGGCAGGTACAAGGAGATCCAATCGGTTGTGGCGCCGAAATCCTCTGCGTTCGGTATTCGCCGTCTGGTGAACATCTTGCCATCGCAACCAAGTCAAATATCCAAATATGGAATCCAGGCAAGAGGGAATGCATCGCAAAGTTCCAGGGTCACGGAGCATGGAATTACTCACTCGCGTGGACGCCCGATGGCACCACGGCTTCTCTCAGCGGGTAGCCGTCGTGATCCCACCATACGGATCTGGAATTCATCGACTTGGAAGCAGGTTAGTGAACCGTGGAAGGGCCATACTGAAAATGTCTACATCATTGCCTTGAATCTTACTGGCACCCTTCTTGCGTCCGCATCTGAAGACCACCAGGTTCGCATTTGGCGGCTTTCGGATCAACGAACCATCGCGATATTCAAACATACCAGTCCTGTGTATTGTGTCACCTTCTCCACGGATGGCAAGCACATTCTCAGCGGAGGAAGAGATAGAATGATCTCAAAGTGGGAGGTACCTTGGCTGGAGGACATTCTCAAGGACCAGGCATTAGATGTAAGATCCTTCATTTTCCGTCCCTTCTCCATCTCATTTTCTCCAAGGGTGTGCTACGGGAAGACACTTTGAAGGAACATGTGGTAAATAATGTGAGTTCCGGTTCATTGACGTTTGGTTCGTCTTCTTGCGTATTGATACTTAATCTTGATGCAAAGATTCAAGAGTCTGATTGCGAGGTTTGTTTCTAGGCTTCATTCTTACCACGCAATCTGACTATGCGTGATGCAGATTCTCGCCATCAACACGACAGCCCGCAATGCGTGCATAACCGGAGATTTGTCTACTGCGGACAGGCTGCTCACCCAAAAGATCAGCGCTGATAGCAGCGACTACAACTCTTACGCGAATCGCTCGCTTGTTATGGCGAGAAAATCCGACTGGGACCGCGCACTTGATGATGCACTAAAAGTGAGGCACCGTTCTTGTCGTGACCTCTTTAAAACGGGCTAAGTTATATGGTGATATAGAGTATCAGCATTCAGCCATCCTTGATAGGCTGTATCTCCAAGGGCATCGCCCTCTGTGGAAAACGACAGTTCGAAGGCGCGATGAAAGCATTTGACCTCGCGTTCATGTTTGTGGACGCAGATTTGCATAAAACTCATCTTCTACTCTTGATTAAGGTACGTCAATTGTGTCTTATGTACTCGTTACTCACACAACAGTTGTCAGGCTATCACCCTGTTCAATGCAAATCAACATGACGAGGCCATTCTGCGCGTCCAAGAGCTAGCTACCACCTGTCCCAACGCCGATACTCTTGCCAGTCATATCGTGGAAGTAAGCGTTCTTCGCTCATGCACTTTGATTTGTTTTATGAACTCTGCATATCAGGCTTATCTACATGTCCAACTGGGAATCGATGCCTTGAATGGCGTGCGTCACAGCGAAGCTGCTGAGCGTTTCACTGCCGCTGTCAACATCATCCCTTTCTCATCCATGTCGGCCATCCATTCTAAATATGATGTCTTCGCGGTAGTGGGTTGATTTCGGTGCAACTGGAAATCATTTTTTCACGCCCGACTGTTTTTTCTAGTTATTCGGGTGGAACTTCAAGTCCTTGTGGCGAACTGCACACCAGAATTGGTGCCTTGCGTTCCTTCAGGCAGGTAGACTTCCAGAAGCCATCAAAGCATACCGACACATGATGGATATGATGGATGAGGCTACGAAAGCACGCTGCCTTGCTTGGTCTACCGGCAAGTCTTCGTGATGTCAACTGGGTATGATTCTCAATCTTATTTCACTTAGCTTTCAAACAAGATTGCAGCGTGCTCTA